TTGGATTAAGTCACATTAAATTCTGTGTTTGAGAAAAAGGGTAGAGGGACAGGTAATTGCAATACCAAAAGGATTGAAAATACAAAGTTTCTCCTGAGCTGCAGCTCCTCCAACTGTAGTTCCAGCAGCAATGTAAACCAAATAAACACAGAAAATATGAGGTCTGCGCTTCCAGTCGTAGTGTGCAGCAATGTGCTACCAAGCATTTATTTGAAGGACATAAAAGACAGGCAAACGTTTGGGGTACAAGCCCTTTTTCAATGCAATGTGAATTAATTTATGATTTTTAAGCTTCGGGCATGACCAAAAAAAAGTTATGTTTCTGTTTGACCACATTGCCTCCAACATTTGTTAGTGTTGCTAAGGTGTAATCTAAAAATTTTAGATGGGGTTAAGTACCATCTATAAATGAACTTCTAATGGGATTCCAGATATTTAATGCATTGTGTGTACCCTTCAATGTAAGTAAACAGTTACGCCCAGGACCGGCCTTAGGTGCGTGCGAGCTGTGCGGCCGCACAGGGTGCCATGGAGCAGGGGGCGCCATGGCCGGGTGAGTGCAGGGAGAGCTAAAGGAAGTCCCCAGGTAGAGGATTCATTATTTCCCACAGGGGACTATGAAAGTAAAGAGGCGGGGCTTACAGCATGGAGGAGGCGGAGCTAAAAGGCAGCTGAGGTGGGGCTTGCAGCTCACTGAAGCTCCAGGTACTTGCTGCACAGAAAAGAATCCCTGCTTCCACTCCTCCCTTCCAGCCATAAGGGAAAGAGGTAATTGTGTGTGTGACTGTACTCTGTGTGTGAGAGACTGTATTCTGTGTGTGTGTGTCTGCATGTGTGTGTGTGTGAGACTGTACTCTGTGTGTGACTGTCTGCCTGTGTGTGTGTGTGTGTCTGTCTGTCTGCCTGTGTGTGTGTGTGACAGTGTCTGACTGCCTACGTGTGTGTGTGAGTGAGACAGTACTCTGTGTGTGACTGTAACAGTGTCTGCCTGTGTGAGTTCATGTGTGTGCGAAACTGTGCTCTGTGTGTGACTGTAACAGTGTGTGTGTGTGTGTGTGTGTGACTGTACTCTGTGTGTGACTGTAACAGTGTCTGACTGTCTGCCTATGTGTGTGTTTGTGTGTGAGAGACTGTACTCTCTGTGACTGTCTGCCTGAGTGTGTGTGTGTGTGTGTGTGAGACTGTACTCTGTGTGTGACTGTAACAGTGTCTGCCTGTCTGACTGTGTGTGTGAGACTGTACTCTGTGTGTGACTGTAACAGTGTCTGCCTGTCTGACTGTGTGTGTGCTTATGTGTGTGTGAGACTGTACTCTGTGTGTGACTGTAACAGTGTCTGCCTGTCTGCCTGTGTGTGTGTGTGTGTGTGTGAGACTGTACTCTGTGTGTGACTGTAACAGTGTCTGACTGTGTGTGTGTGACTGTAACAGTGTCTGACTGTCTGCCTGAGTGTGTGTGTGTGTGTGTGAGACTGTACTGTGTGACTGTAACAGTGTCTGACTGTCTGTGTGTGTGCCTGACCATCTGCCTGTGTAATTGTGTCTGACTGTAACTGTGTCTGACTGTCTGCCTTTGTGTGTGACTATAACAAGGGCCGGCCTTTGAGGTGTGAGAGCTGTGCGGCCGCACAGGGCGCCATGGCAACAGGGGCGACAGGTGGCAGTCGGTCACTCACAAACCGGACCGAATTGGAATGCAGGAGGAGCGTGGAGAAGGAGCGTGGGGGCGCGACGTCAGATGGATCCGCTCAGTGGGTGTCAGGGCGGAAGGTGCTCTTCAGTCGGCGAGTCGGCAGAATGGGAAAAACTGACAGCTGGATCCAGGGAGCAGCAGCCTTAAATGTAGGTGCTTGTCCTTTTTTTTGTCCTTGTCCTTTTTTTGTTTGTTTATATATAACGATTGTGTTTTATTGAAGGGGGCTAGTGATAAAGGGGGGCAGGGGGCTAGTGATAAAGGGGGGCAGGGAGCTGGTGATAAAGGTGTGCAGGGAGCTGGTGATAAAGGGGGGCAGGGAGCTGGTGAAAGGGGTCAGGGCGCTGGTGATAAAGGGGGGCAGGGAGCTGGTGAAAGGGGTCAGGGCGCTGGTGATAAAGTGGGGCAGGGGACCGATGAAGGGGGGCAGGATTTTGTTGAAGAGGGTGCAGGCGACAGATTGTGAATGTGCCTGAAATTGTCTAGAGGGTGTCAAACACAGATGGCGAGGGGGGTGCCACAATATTGGCTTGTACACCTAAGGCCAGCCCTGGTTACGCCACTCATCTACTGTATATACCCCACCCAGCTTACTCTCCCACTTCAACATGTATTTAATTTGGGAGGGAGATCTATGTTTAGATATAACCACAATGAAGAAAATGCATTATTAAATGTTTTAATTGAGGATAAATCTACTAAACAGTGATTTTTATGACAGTGGAGTACTCTGGCTTATATTTACATATTCTGCATGTTAATTACATATATTTAATTTTATACATATATTTAATTTTATACAAGTCTTATTCCTCTGTTTTGGGGCCCAATCAATCTCTTTTTTACTTTGCATTGTCGAGTACAGCTTAGAATTTTAGTTTTCACAATATGAATAGCACAAAATTAGAGCTTAGTTAATAACCTGATTTAGCAATGTAGAATTGTGGTTAATCTGTATCATGCTTCGCAGGTCTTTCTACTTTAACTATAAATAGGGTGAAAGGCAGAACTTGAAAAGGGAAATAAATTATTAGAATGCAAAAGATGAGCCTGTTACAATCCATAGAACCCATAAAAGCTGTCTGCATATTTACATTTTGACACTAGATGGCAGCATAGCCTTTAAAATGATTGTAAATTGAACTTCAGGCATCATTTTGATGTTCTTGTCTATATTATTATTATTATTGCCATTTATATAGCGCCAACAGATTCTGTAGAGGGGGGGATTTAACTATAAATAGGACAATTACAAGAAAACTTACAGGAACGATAGGTAGAAGAGGACCCTGCTCAAATGAGCTTACAGTCTATAGGAGGTGGGGTGTAAAGCACATTAGGACAGGAAATAACAATCAAATAAGGTGGGAGAGAAACAGAGCTGGAGGAGAGAGTAGAGTGCTGCCCTATAGGAGAGAGCAAGAGACAGGTATGTGAGGTAGAGGTTACTCTGGGAGGCCATAAGCTTTCCTAAAGAGATGGGTTTTAAGGCACTTCTTAAACGATTGAAGACTAGGAGAGAGTCTGATGGCGGTAGGCAGGCTATTCCATAGGAAGGGAGCCGTCCGCGAGAAGTCCTGGAAGCGTGAGTTGGGGGTATGTGTTCGAGCAACGGACAGGAGAATTTCACGGGCAGAGCAGAGATACCAAGAAGGGGCATATCTATGGATCTGTGAAGAGATATAAGAGCGGCTAGAATTGTTCAGTGCTTTATAGGTATGGGTTAGTACCTTGAATTGACTCCTATGGGATACAGTAAGCCTATGGGATACAGTAAGCCAAAAGACTGACAGAGGGGATAGGAGCGACAGGAGAGAAAAATCAGGCTGGCGGCAGCATTCATTACAGACTGTAGCGGGGTAATACGACTTGTGGGAAGACCTATTAGGAGAGGGTTACAATAATCTATGCAAGAGATTATTAGAGCATGGACAAGCTCCTTGGTAGCATTTTGCGTAAGAAAGGGGCGGATGTGGGCTATGTTTTTAAGATGGAATCTACAGGATATTATGATTGTGAGTTTGTTACTGTATTCTTTTAATAATAAGGTGAACTAATTGTATGCAGTACTAAACAATGTGTTCGGTGGATTTATCATAATTCGCTATGAAATAAAATGTACTTTCTTCCCATATGTGTTTTATTATGTAACAAAAATGCTCTCTAGTAAATATCAACACTTTGAAAAGAACCTCTTAGTAGAACATAGTTTTTGCTCTCCAGATACTCTAAATGAAACACTTGTAGCTGAAAGATCTGTCTATATATTAGCATGTTGTGGCCACGTGGCCTGTCCTGATTGTCAGGGGAGAGCAATCCGACTTTCCTGTTGGTTTCTTGTGGACATTGAACAAAACAATTTCAACAGTGAAACAAGAAATTAACCAGCAGACGGGGATACATTTTATTTATTGTTTTATTTCCTTATTGTGGTTTGTTCCAAGGGAAGGAAATGGTTAGAAATATTATGCTAAGTAAGACGTCTTGTTTAGTTGCCATTTGTTTTAAGAAACACTCAAGCAAAGTAAAATGTTTTAGGGGTCTGAAGTGCAAGGCCCTCCAGGGGTGTAACTAGGAACTGCTAGTGCCCCCTTTGTCTCACTAGCCTAAGTAAGTGTGATGACGTGTGGAATTGTCTGAGTGTGATTGTGTGTGGGGGTTTGTAAGTGTAATGATAATATATACAAGGCTTATGATTTCAGATTTATAGTTACTAGCCATGATTAAAAGTTACTTACCACCTTAAACGAGCGCACATAATAATTTCAGTTTTTATTCTCGTTGTGTCCACGTTAAGCTCTGCCCTGCTGTCTGGCATGACTGTGGCACGTATTTCTGACATCACTAGCCCTCTCTCTGCAGAACGCTGGTAGTCTGCCCATGTCATTACCGGAACTCACTGTCTACAAAATTCAGTCATTTGGATTTTCCCAATCTTTGTTTATTAACTAATTAGGAATTAATTTCAGAATTTAGTGAATAAATCTCCTAATGTCCAGACACATGGTACAGGTATACGGAGAGTCTCATTGCAATGCGGCTAAATGGCTTATTAATGAAATGTGAACTAAAAACCTGATTACACAAATTAGGATAAAATAGATGCACTGTGACTATGGGAGAAATTGGGAATTATTCTAATTCAGCATTTACTGCCTTAAATGTCCAATTTGGTTTGCAATGCGTACTCATCGACTATAAAGAAACCTGATTAGCTAGAAATTAAAGCGAAAGAAAAATTACTGATAAAAACCACTGAAGAGAAAAGTGTTTATTGTAGAAGAGAATTGACCTATTTACACATAAACAAATAACACACTCTGAAGGACTCCTGAGAACTGTATTCATGAGGCTACAGAACCATAACCACTGCAGGGCAAGGCCAGACTTACATGTCAGGTGCCTGCAGGCACAACATTCTAAGGCACCCCCTGGGGTTTAGAGCTAGACTGGGATTAAATTAGTATTTGGGGCACATGAGATATTTAGCTTTTATAAGGTGTTAACCCCTTAAGGACACATGACGTATGACATGATTCCCTTTTATTCCAGAAGTTTGGTCCTTAAGGGGTTAAACATAGGATTAAGCTAAAGGGTTTATTTTCTGGAGTTTTAAGGGTCATTAACAAAGTCCTCACCCCCTATGTCTTCTGTAGCCCAGTCAGATTGATATTAGAGCTGAAGGAGCTGTTCTACAGTGTGCATCACTCAGGCCTTCTCCTGCTCCTCCTGCAAGGCACTTCCTGTGTGAGAGGCTGTTAGTGGCAGATGGGAAGTGACCCCTTCCACTTCCTGTCCAGCCTCACACACAGATAGTGGAGGATCACTGAGTATTACACCCTCTAACTGCTATTAAAGGACCACTATAGTGCCAGGAAAACATACTCATGCCCCCACCCTCAGGGTCCCCCTCCCGCCGGGCTCTAGGGTGAGGAAGGGGTTAAACTTACTTCTTTCTCCAGCGCCGGGCGGGGAGCTCTCCGCCTCCTCTCCTCCCCCTCGGCTGAATGCGCATGCGCGGCAAGAGCCATGCGCGCATTCAGCCAGTCCATAGGAAAGTATTCTCAATGCTTTCCTATGGACGCTGGCGTCTTCTCACTGTGAAAATCACAATGAGAAGCATTGAAGCGCCTCTAGCGGCTGTCAATGAGACAGCCACTGGAGGCTGGATAAACCCTAACATAAACATAGCAGTTTCTCCAAATTCTCCAAAACTGCTATGTTTATAGAAAAAAGGGTTATCCCTAGCTGGACCAGGCACCCAGACCACTTCATTAAGCTGAAGTGGTCTGGGTGCCTATAGTGGTTCTTTAAGGCTGACTGCACTATAGAGGACACTGGCCAAGGCTCCTGATACTTATATCCCCCTATCAGCCTGTTTAAGCTCAAACGTGCTGAAGCAGGCACCGCTAGTGGTCAGGCAGACAGACACCTACTCTACTTAATGGGAAATCCTGCCCTACTGCAAGGTGCATATTCAGTCACTCATCATCCGCCTTTATCCGTTGTTTTCTCTTTTCTCCCAATTTTCTATTCCACGTGTTTTATATTTTGTGTACAGTAATTTTATGTTGTATGCTGAGTGTAGACATACAATATCACCAGACCTATCCGTCCCTCTAATCATTCCCAGCCTCAGTCTCTTAAACACAAGGCAGTAACACACATCAGACCCACCAGGATAACGGAGTATCTCTTATTACACCCTGTCACTCCACTACATCCCAGTCCTCTCACTGTGCCCTTTGCAACACACCCTCAGTCTGTAATACTATAAAATCTGCCATTCACGATTTCCTTATCTCCTGCTCATTAAACCTCCTGACTCTGACTGAAACCTTGCTCTCTCCATCTTATGCTGCTACCCCTGCCTCCCTATCCTATGGCGTATAGCTGTGGTCCCATCATGGACCACCAACTTCTCTAACACACGTTTTCATCTATCTGACCAGCATCTTCTGACCTGCACAATCAATGTGCTATCTCTTGACCGTACCTTTACTTCCAACTACTGAATGGATCAGCCAGAGCCCAGACTTGAACCCAATTCAACATCTCTGGAGAAACTGAAAATGTCTGTCCAACCTTGCGAAAACTACTCAAACCCAGGTGTGCAGAGCTTGTTACACCAAAAAGACGTGAGGCTGTAGTCACAGCCAAAGGTGCTTCAATTAAGGTCAATGTAAATTTTGGGGGTTAATTTTAATTTCTAGGGTGCCATGGGGTCTTAAAGGCAACATAGACCTAGCAAACCAATCTGGCAAATTTCAATGTGTAAAAACTGAAAATGGTATTGCGCTTTATTTGACCCTGTAACTTTCCAAAACACCATAAAACCTGTACTGTTGTACTTGTGAGACATGATTAGATTTTATTCATTTTCTGTTTTATGTAAAATGAAAGCCCTGTTTCTTCTGAACAATATGATATATAATAAGTGTGGGGGTACTTAATATGAAAGAGGTAAATTATGGTTGAACAGACATACAGCTCAAATTCCAGGTTTCATTTACATTTTGTTTTGATCAGAAAGTGTACAATTGCCTCCGTCTTTAAGGGGGTAAGGTTCCGCCACAGCATTTCAATCAGTTGAAGTCTGGACTTTAACTAGGCCATCGCAACACCTTGATTCTTTTTTTTTTTTTTTTTTTGCCATTCTGTTGTGCTTGGGATCATTGTCCTGTTGCATGACCGAACTTCGGCCAAGCTTTAGCTGTTGGACAGATGGCCTCACATTTGACTCTAGAACACTTTGGGATACCGAGGAATTCATGGTCGACTCAATGATTGCAAGGTTCCCAGGTCCTGTTACTGCAAAACAAGCCCAAATCATCACCCCTCCCCACCGTGCTTGACAGTTGGTATGAGGGGCTTGTGCTATTTGATTTTTGTCAAACATGCCGCTGATTCATGTGGCCTAACATCTCCACTTTTGTCTTGTCTCTCCAAAGGACATTGTTTCAGAAGTCTTGTGATTTGTTCAGATGCAACTTTGCAACCCTAAGCTGTACTGTCATGTTTACTTCTTCTCCTGGCAACCATTCCAAACAAACCATACTTATTCAGTTTTTTTCCAATTGTTCTGTCATGAACTTTAACATTTATAATGCTAGTTGAGGCCTGTAGAGTCTGAGATGCAACTCATGTTTTTGTTACAAATTCTCTGAGCATTGCACAGTCTGACTGTTTGGTGAATTTGCTGGGATGTCCACTCCTGGGAGATTAGCCTTGAATGTTTTCCACTTTCGACTAATCTTTCTCACTGTAGAATGATGGACTTTAAATTGTTTGGAAATGGCCTGGTAACCCTGCCCAGTTTTATGGTTCTCTAAGATCATAGCTGATGTCTTTTCTCCTTGGCATTGTGTTAACACTCACATGAATGCTCCAGACCAGCAAACTGCTAAACTTTGGCTTTGGTGGGCAAGCTTGCTTATTAATCAAGGATATATGACAGCACCGTTCTGCTACTTAATCTCTTAATTCCTATAGAAGCAGTTAAGGTGTACTTTGTTTTTCAGACATGGCTTCTTCACGTTGGCTTTATTTTGTTAAAATGTTTTAACTCTGTGCCACCAGTTACAAACAGGAGACAAACAATAGGTCTGTACAAGGAATTTACACTGGTAGCACCTTCTACAACGGATGTGTTTACATAAACATATCTTAATTTTAATAAAATGCAATGGTCCGTGTGCCTTTTGCAGAAATTAACAAACGCTACAAATAAAGTCATTAAAAGACCGTGTAGCACAGATTTGATGTAAAAAGAAATGATTTTCCCTTGAACAGTTTCAGAGGAGACGTTGCCTTATAATGCTAGCTGAAGGTTTGCAGAGAATTGCACATGCCAGTCCAATTATATCAAAACATTATGCCAGAGGCACAATCACTCAGGTGCACAAATTCATTGTTCGAGAATCTAATAGACTAAGGAAAATGTAAACTGAGCTCATGATCTGGAAACTCCGAATGCTCTAGGTTATTAAATTCCAGGACGGGGATATTCACTGAACCAGGATTTTTAAAGAATTGGAGGCATGGAAATTGTAACTTTTAGGTAAAATAAATCCTGCAATACTGCTAATTAACCACTTTGGGTTTCTTTGCCTTGATTTTGTGTAAACTTTACAGAAGAATAAATAATAATTGTAACATCTGAGAAAGTGTGGGAAGCCGAGCTCACCCTGTTAAAGGGACACAATAGGCACCCAGACCATTTCAGCTCATTGAAGTTGTCCGGGTGCAGTGTCCCAGGTCCCTAAATCCTGCAATGGTAATTAATGCCATTTTTGAAGAACTGCAATAATTACCTGATAGGGCAAACTCCATGTTTAGTCGTTGTCTGCCAGCCACCCACTAGAGGGAGGTCCGGGTCGTTAGGCGACTTTTGGTCGCCTAATTGATGCTGAACGTCCACACACTATGCATGAGGACATGCAGTGTCACTCAAAACCCATTGGAATGCATTTTACAATGATTTCCAATAGGGTAGTCCTAATGCGAGCGTGGAGCGGAGGCGGAGCCTGAACCTGCACTGAGGAACATCGGCGCTTGAATCAGGTAAGTGATAAAGGGGTTCTTAACCCTTTCAACACAATGGGAAGGGGGCACTAGAGGGGAAACCCTTTATTCACAGCTTATCCACCTAATTAATGTAAGATTTTGTGTATGTTCAAAGATCCTGTACGGAGCATCTCCGAAATGCAATCTGGGGTGGTATCAGACCATTAAATCATGCATGGACTCTTAGCAGACAAGAGGGGCTTCTGACCAGAATGGCAGGCACACGAAACAAGGATCGGGCAGCAGACGAATACATTCATTACAAGGTAATGAGATATTACAAGTAATCTTTTTAATTTTTAATAAATGACAGTTTTTAAAAAAAGAGACTTTAAGGCGTATAACTGGGAGAAAGCAGGTTATTTTTTCAGAATTCTGTTTTGATTCTTCTAATCTTTATTTCCACAATTTTGCCATCAAGGATTCCGCTTGATATGTAACACGCGAAATCATTCCTGGTTTTAATGGGATATTGATCTCGTTACAAAGTAGGAGTTTCACAACAACTATGTTCGCTCCAGACTTTAAATGTAAATTCATTGGGTCAGAAAGAAAACCTACCAATTGAGAATGATTAGATATAACATGTTTAATGGCTGTCTGGGATAAATATATTCTACATTTTATTCAGCGTCGTAATGCTTGATGTGTCAAAAAACCAAATCAGATGTGGATCTCCATGTGAAACTATTGAGGTATCTGTAAAAATCAAATAAAACCTAATATGTATTAATATTTTAAGTGATTGTTTATTGAGACATTCCTTTGTTCCCATTACTCGTACAAATCAATGGGACACGTTATTATATGTGAACCTTGGAGGTCACAGATAGTAGAGCTTTGCAGAATCCTACTTTTACTAATGAGATTATGTCCTTACAGTTAGCTTTACATCACAGCCTTGCTAAATTATCACTTTAGAAATACGTCTATACGTGTAACTTCCATTTGCCCCCCCCCCCCTCCCCACCTGGCCCCTTCATTCAGTGTTGGCCAGAAGTCTAGCACTCCATGTAGATAGAGGTGTGGGAATTAGGCAGTGTCATTCTCCCAAGTTTCTATCCACACTACTGTTTTTACATCTAACCCCTGCCGGGCAAATGGGTTTGCTGCTAAAGAACCTCATATTTGGGAGGGGAAGCCCCCTCCATTTTGACACCTTGGGTATAACATTTTAAAATAATTTCCCTCTAAATCAGAATGTGAACGAATTATAAATTGTTACATTTCTAAGGAGGAGGTCCCTCTGTATTTTTTTAAACGGACCATGGGACGTTTGCAGAATCTTGTAGATTTTCCTGATATTGAAGCGTTTGATCCGTTTACACCACTTTCGTCAGTCAGCGTGCATTAAATAAACGTCACACGGAAACCGTTATTGAAAGGAAAGAGGTGTCTTCTATAATTAATGTAAAATAAATTACATGCAGAACTAATTGTGGATGGTGCTTTTTAGGTAATTAATATGATGAATGAAGATGATTAATTTGGAACTCAAAGCAAATAAGCAATCCCCTGTACACAATGAACACAGAAGGGGCAGGTAATATAAACTCCGGCCTGCTACAGGTTTATCAAACAAAGCAGTGGTCCCCGACTGCGAACTTGCAAAAAAATTGAATATTAATTGTCTGCTGTTATTGCTGCCAAGCTGAGCTTTTTCTTGTAGGATTGTATGTGCTGGACAGAAATTGGATAATTAATGGATTAGGGATTTGTGTGTGTGTGTCTATATGTGTAATATATATAATAAATGTCTTCTTGTAAATGCAGCACACAATCTTTTACTGGGAGCATCAGTTGTGAAAAATTGTCCCTTTGTCAAATAATTTCTAATTGGAGTGCAGGAGCTTAACTCCTTATAGAAACAAGCACCTCTATGAACCTTTTAGGTTCTAAGTAGCAACACAGGGACTGTCCAAATTGAGAATTGGATCGATCCAAAGTCCACAGTGCTGGGAAGGGCTGGCACCAAACGTTTGTAGTTCAGAAACATTCAGGTTCTGCACTTGGGGATATAGGGAACGGTCACTGTAATCAGAGAGTTTGGCTACAAAAACACGAAAGAATACACCATTATCTAATTTTTGCGTCTGATAATAATAAGTAAGATAATAATTTTCCACTCATTGAACCCCCATTTATTATACGTTACGCAGACTAGCAGGCTGAAATAGATGCGTTATCGGCTGTGTACCGTTGTGGATTAATGACGGGTAGTAACATGTAGCAGATTATTAACTGTGGGAAATGAAATTAAAACGGTAATATTGTGCCGCTCTCTGGCTGTTTGTGTCTACGCTCAGCATATGATCGCTTAATAGTTTATGGTCCAACTATAACAAAAATGTCTGCCAGACTGTGTCTGAAGCAGCCGCATTGATTTTTCTCGAAACTAAAATCAATATGTGTATTTAATATTATTATCCTTCAATTCCAGGGTTTGTTTAGTAAGAGTGAAAACAAGTGTCGGACTTTTACCAGGTGTATTGTTTAATTTGTATTATTTGTAAAAGTAATTAGCGCGCTCATACCCATAATAAACAAGGAGACAAAACTTCTATGTTTCAAAAAAAGTGATCATGTAGGGAAGGAGCTTATAAATGTATCAATGTATCTGGTCCATGCAAGTTCTAGATTCAATTATGTTTTTCGTTCGTTCTTTCTTATATATATACTGTAAGAGAGAGAAAGAAGAATGGGACAATTTACAGGATGTATCGAAGGACAAAGCCATTATTACACATGTAATATAACAATTTAAGCTGAATGTTTTCTCCAAGAGTTGTATTGTATCCTACTGGAAGATACTGCGATGACTGTACACCCCAAAACCTGACAAGAAATTGAATGTTGCCAAATACAGTAATGAAACAGCACCAACAACCATCAAGACAAAATGGAATAATTACAAGGCCAATAGAGAACTCGGTGGTTTTCCACATTTTTGAGCATTAGGCCAGTTCTTTTTATTTGTGGACTGTGAAGGCTTTTAGCAACCTACGTACTCCCAGCTCTCATTCCCCCACCCCCCTTCCCTTTAGTTGAATACGTAAATATTATGTGTGTGTCGAAAGGGGTTTACTTACAATGCATCTTTCATTGTGTTATATTTCTATGATCTTTTAACAAGTAAATATTTGAATCTTTATTTCCTTCAGACTCACTAAACTTAGATAGATAGACCGATAGATAGACAGATAGACAGACAGACAGACCGATAGACGATAGACAGACAGACCCGATAGACAGACAGACCGATAGACAGACAGACCGATAGACAGACAGACCGATAGACAGACAGACCGATAGACAGACAGACCGATAGACAGACAGACCGATAGACAGACAGACCGATATATAGACAGACAGACCGACAGATAGACAGACAGACCGATAGACAGACAGACAGACCGATAGACAGACAGACCGATAGACAGACAGACCGATAGACAGACAGACTGATAGACAGACAGACTGATAGATAGACAGACCGATAGATAGACAGACAGACTGATAGATAGATAGATACATAGACCGATCGATCGAAAGATAAATAGATAGATAGACAGACAGACAGACCGACTGATAGATCTCATCACGTAGAGTTCTGCTAGATGAGAAACCTGTCCCTTTAATGTTCCCTAATATAATCCATTTCTTAAAATACAGGACATTTCAGAAGCAGTTTTTGGTATCGAGAATCATGTTTCATTTAAAAATCATAACCTATAACTTCCGCATTAAATGCCCTTTTGTTATGTCTACACTCATTTCATACAAATTTCTCAAAGAAAAAAAAAAAATCCAATAAATGTGTGACATGAATTTACATTTCCAGAAAAAGCTTTTTTGGTTTGTTCTATTGACGTTTCATGATGTGTATCGTTGGCTTTAACTGGAATTGCATGTTGGAGAGATGTTCATATCTGTGTGGCTCCATTAAATAGAAATCCAATCCTGCATTGAGCAAAGTCTGCTCTGTAAGGTCACCTCGAAGCAGAATCAATGGAGCTTTCTTTGTGCAGTTGTAATAAATCCTGGTAGAAAGTCATTTTAATGTACACGTCCTCTACGTTTTAAACTCGTATGATTTTTACATTTTATTTTAAAGACACAACAAGTAAAATAATGAGTGGATATTAATCTGACCACCACTATTGTTTAGATAACAGTATTTTGTTGATGTTGAAACAATTTTCTTTGCAACTAAGATGAATTACACAATCCCTCTAAGTGGTTTGTACTATAACTCCCAGTATCCTTAGCTACGCAAATACTTTAAAAGGGCTTCTTTAGCCTTGGCCCTTGAAAATGGTTTAACAATGAATGGGGGGTGGCGTCAGGGGACTCTAGCACTATAACCACTGTAATTAGATTTAATGGTTGCCTATTTTAACTTAAAATGTGCCATTCCGCAGTCAATTACTAATAGTTTGTACGTTCGAGAATAACCCTATGAATAAATATTTCAGGAGATGAACAAATACATATATTGGTTTGAAAGAAAATGACAGATCCATTTCTAACTGTTTTATTAAAATATGACTTCACAACTTCCCAGTGTCACGGAGACCCGATATTATCATCATTACTCTTTATAAAGTGCCAACAAATTCCGCAGCGCTGTCCAATGGGTATGAAACCTCATTAGAGGCTGGGCAGCTGGAGCAATGCAGGGTAAGGGTACCCTGTGTAAAAGATTATACGAGATAATCTCACAGAGAAATATTCACTCCTGACCATGATATAAATAAGTATGTGGACAGAGGTTTCAAGCGAACTTAAGGAGAAATGATCTGAAAATAGTTGGTTGGTGGCTGGAGCAGTGAGGAGCACAGCCTAACGTGGTTCCTATTGGAAGATCTCTAACACAGGGCTATCTGGATATTATATGTACAATGGAACCGATAGGCAAGGAGAAGCAGTGTGGCAAGCTTGTTTAACAATGAGCAACAAGTAGATGGCACTAAAAGCTTTCTTGTGGCTGTGATGGAAACCAAGCCAGGCTGTAACGTGGTGCATCTGGCATCCATACACATCGCACCCCACCGAGACCCTTTATATCATCAATCCGGCCAGGCCTCCCCTCTATATTCGACTCAAAGCCATAGGAGAGTGGTGAAGCACAATTCATTTAATTAAAATGCTATCCTAAGGAGCTTGACATTCACAGAGTTATTCACTAGAATTCCAGGTGATTTTGGCTTGAATAACTGAATTAGGAAAAAAAAATAAAAAATCTTCATCTTAAATTTAAAATTCTCTTTGGATTCCCAGAAATTTTGAGCTCAGTAAATAACCCGGTCAGTATATCGGAAGCCCCCAGGACCCCACCAATATGAGATGAAATACTTAAACAGAAAAAAATAAAATAAAATTGAATACAGCCTAATGGTCACTATACATTTGACTGTTACTAGAAAGCAGGAGCCATTGATCCATTTCATCAACGGTATCCAGAAAAATAACATGTACGCCTGAACTAGACTTAGCTTGTCACCTTGGGAAGTCGCGTACCTTCCAGGACATGATTTGCTTTATTGAATATTTTATTGTCTGCAGACAGTGAGGCTTGACGTTTCCTTACAGTTTGAAATGACTTCATGAAGGAGAAAGCGATAAAAGATATAAAGAACTGTAAAACGCACACTTCAACGTTCTCATGTGATAATAAACGACAAGAATACAGAACTGCAACGCAAGCAAAAAATGAAATACACATACAAAACGTGTAGATGATTGAGAGACATTTGTGGTCTTGAACAATGTGCAGTGATATGTATCTGTTTAACATGAAATGATTTTAGAACTGGCAAGTGACTGGTTTTATAAATAGATTTTATGTTATAAAATAATTTTCAAACATCTATTTATTTGGTAAGAAAATATTTGCATAGTTCTCACCTTTTTAGGTTTAGTTAAATACAATTATAACAATGTAACTATATAACAATTCTAATTGTATAATGTATCCTGCTGCACTACGTAGTCCGCAATGTTTCATCATGATGACAAATTTTAGATTAAATGTATTTTTTAGAGAGGAACTGTCACTCATCTAAAGTTTACACCATTAAATAAAACGCCCCACTCGACTTATACTCGAGTCAAGGTCTGTATTATGGCAATTTACATTGCCATAATACAGAACAGGCCCGCCGGGCTCATTACAAGTCCGGCAGTCCTGTTGGGGGCTGGCAGCAAGCTGTTACATACCTTTGTAGCAGCTCCGGTCAGCTCCCTTCACCTCCGTGCAGCTCCCCTGTCAAAAATTACAAATAATAAAAATGCCATCCCCCCCACCCAGTTCACACACACTACACAAATACACACACATGCTCTGCATTCACACAAACACACACACTCTGCATTATATACACACACACACTCATACAAACACACACTCTGACAAAATTATAAAAATCACAGAATTTCATAGCCAAGTTTTACCCTCGACTTATCCCCGAGGCATATTTCACAATTGTTGGTCACAAAACCACACTCGACTTATACACGAGATCGACTTATACACGAGTATATACAGTAAATAACTTGTAACCCGTGTTGATCATTTTTCACGAAATGCTGTTTTCGTTAGAATTTAGATGAAAGATAAATCAGATCACATCATATGCAATGCCCAAGGGAAAGGGTGGGCCCGTCCTTAAACCTACAGACCTTCCAGAGAGTCCTGCAGAAGGGTGGGTTCCTAGTGCCAGTTCACAGCATAAGCACGTCTAATAATGTGCTCTCGCTGTGTTGCCTACATCTGGGGTACCAAAGAACAAAATCCAGATGATTGGATAGGAACCCAAAATCAGGACAGTTGGATAGTCCTGAGAGATGCACTGAGGCTGTATAAGTTATCACTGTTTCATACTGTTTGTACAATTTCACATATCTGTCAACATTCTAGGATTTTATAAATTCAATGTATATGGTTTTGTTTGTGAATGTTATATTTTTTTATCTTATCACAATCAACAAAGTAAAACTGTGTCTGCAGTGAAGAATAGTTTATTAAAAGCGATATGCCAACTCTTTGAGTGCCATAAATATTGGCAAATATTAGGAGCAGTATATAAGGTCAAGGTGCCAAAAATAGTTTCTGTTATTTATTAGTAGTGTTAGTAGTACAGACATTAACTTTCCTCCCCAGTTATTAGAATTACTTAGAGTTTGGATCTGAATGAGGTCCTTGAAGGACCTATGGCAGAAACGTCCTACTATAAATTTCTTACCTTAGTTTGTGGGTCTGCTCCCTCAATACATGGTCATCTCATATATTCTGTCTCCAGCATGTTAAAACACATTTATTGATAAGTTTGTCTTTAAGAATTAGAGGGTTTTTTTATATTTCTGCATCACCTATTCCAGCTTGCTCAATACAATGTATATTTGTTTCAGCAGCCAGTATATCAGAGGACACGGACATATTCTAGTAAATATTTCAGAGAAACCGATGAAGATCATCTGTCCGAACGACGAGTAAATGCGCTATCCATGACAAATCATCTAGATTTCCAATCTATACCGAGATCAATAGGTTTTGAAATAACAGCAAAGTTTTCTTGAGAAAACATTTTAACAATTATGTTTCCAGTGCAGTGTTAGCAAATGGCAGCTAAATAAACTACTGTGAATAATGGCAGAACTTTGAGATTTCAGTTTGAAAAACAAAAATCTATTTCTACCCATGAAATTATAATGAAATAATGCTTAATGGGAATTTCAAATGGATCCAGCATTAGAACGGAGAAATGCTGTAGATTACGTTACAGCCAGACGTTTGTGTGGAGCAAATAATTCAACCGTTGACTGGTAAGTGAACACCACCAATCTCTGTCTGAAAGCATCGAGAGGAGGGGTGGTACGGGTTATTGTAAAATCTCTGTATATCCATCAGCGAGGAAGTATCACAATTCTATATATATAGCGCCAACATATTTCGCAGCGCTGTACAGTAGGTATACAAGACAAACATTTATTTCTAACACACCCTGTATGATATACGGGAACAATACTAATTCCCGTGTGCTTTATTTATTTAGCTCTAAATAACAGGCAGAATCAAAGAATTAGAATGGAACAACACAATCAAAAGACATTAAACGTTTCCACTAATACATTTAAATAAAAAGTACAAAAAACTAAACGATGTTTCTGAATGTCACTACTTCGAGGTCTTCTTTACTTTTCTCTCAATGTGTTTATCGTGACCGGAAGTGTGGGGATCCATTATGCTGCCCAGTGGCCATGTTAGTATTGAACATATTTGTCATCATGGAGCCTGTGTCCTTTTTTTTTTTGCTGAACATTAGTGCCATGATGCCATATTAATGAAGACCATGCATGCGCACTAGTGTGATGCCAACTCAATCTGGATCATGGATTAACACCGAGGTTATTCTGTGTCTCCATGATGCACACCCACTACTGATCTGTCTCAGCTTTAAAAAACCCACAGCCGCCGAGTCCAGTACTCCGTTATTTGGTTGTAAACCCAGTGACCATACCCTATGTTCCTTGGATCTCAGCTCCCTCTTCCTGTGTTTCTCAGCCCCAACTTGTGAAACCTTACAGCCCACACTGTCCTCTGGACTTTGGTTGCCTTTAGCTTTACCTGTCCCTGTCCTGGGTTAATCGTCCTGGCTTTTCGCTCGCTGGATGATATGTCTTTACATTTCTGTAATAGATCTCCTGTCCTGCCATAAACTCACTGTGAACTTTGTCTTTAATGCAGGTTTTCTTGGGAGTGGTGATTTATAACGATGTACAGTCTGCCTTCAATCAGATTCCAAATGAAGGTTCTATCTACTAACAATGGCATAAAGTAAGGCTTGACAAATCTCAGAACATACATAAGAATGCAAGCGATATATGTAACAAAGATAAAAGATTGACCACAACATCTGGCAGGTCACAGAGAGATTTGTATTAAAAGGATCAAACTGCATAATGCAGACCAAATATTATACTCGATAACTGACCGAAACCATCAGAAAGTTTGTTAGTTTGCCTGGAACCCATCCCCATGTTAATGTGTGTGGTGAAACCAAACATGATAAAACTCCCTACAGTGCAGACAAAAAAAAAATTACCGTTGTAAATCACCTCTATACCTCTGGGAAATCCCCCTGTAATGCTCAAGGGGAATTTCCCGAAGTCCATTATTATATACAGGCGATGCACAACAGTAATCTATACATTGTGTGTATACAATAAAATATATATGTAAATATAAAATAAAAGTACTCTGAGGTACTCTGTAAATACAAAGATAAAGGCTGATTGTAGCAGTCTCTAGAGATACAAGTATCTAGAATCTCTCCCACTTTCCGTTAACTAGATAGCTCTCTCATCCACTCATTACGGCCCAGTTAGATGGAGCTAATATCGATAATATAGATATGTATATACCATATTGTTAGTATAGGGGAGTGAGCTAATCACTAGAGAATCATTCCACAGTCGGCATTGTACCGACCCTGACTATATACAGGTTTCATGCCGTGTTAAGCACACTGTAAAATGTTTGACAGCAGCTCTTTTTGTCGGAATAAATGGGAGTCTGGGCACAGGGCTTTGTATTTGATTTTATATTACCCAGCCATGTTACAAGGCTGCCACCCACCCCTGTGTCTTATTAAGGTTTAATAATGTGTTTAAGGGGTTTATAAAATATATTGTTTTTAAATACCCCTTTCTGTCTCATTAGAGATTTTACAGTTTAGCTGAAGACTGCAAGGTGAATTGTTAGTGTTGGACTCACCTAAGAGGTTTTGCCTTGACGTCGCAGGTGAGCTTACACTTTAATGGCTATTGGAGTGATCCTAAAAACCTCCGGTTATTAAAATGTGCGTAGGGATCTGGGATTGTGCGCATGTAGCCATATGAAATTATTATTATTTTACTATTTATATAGCGCCATCAGATTCCGTAGCGCTGTACAATGGGACATGTCTGGTTCTAAATATTTGGAACCATGACAAACCCTACAAATAACCCTACTTGAATACAGGTGTGCCTGCCGGTCCTTCGATCACTTTGGACGATACATTCTCGCCCAAACTTTCTTGTATAATTTAAATTTTGCATAGGACAATGTGTCGCTGACCCCTGCTTGCACTCTACAGACACTGGCAAACCCCCTCCCCCACACAATACAAACCATCTCCATTATTCAAATCCTACATTGTCTGAACGTATCATATCATTGCTTGTAGTCACAGCGTACAAATAACGCACAGTCTTGCCAAAATTAATGAATGCTCTCCGTTTGAACAGATGGTTGGGGATTAAGGATCACGAGGAGTTGAATAGACATATATTGAAATATATAACAGGAGCTTTGTATTGTCTTTGTGTAGAAACTGCCTCTTCGTCTCATGTTTTCAAAAGTAATGTTTTATTTCTCTTATAATGTAATATGGGGTTTACCATGCAGACTTGTTCTGCTGTTGTCTTCTGCAAGGATTGCGACCAATGATGGTCTGCTTAAAAATCGGAATATTTAGGACTACAAATAACCCAACATATTAGTAAATAGATACTAAAAGAAAATGGCAAGAAAGAATGAATGCATTGACCCCCTTATTAGCGGATAAACCTTTAAATCAATTTAAAAAGATCTCTCTGCAAAATCAGACCATGGTTCCTCTGTTTCCCCTCCACCCCCCTTTCATTTTCTGTCCAATATATTTCCATTCTCTTTGTTCCTTTCTCCTGAGTTTGGGGAATTATATTAGGCTGCGATTAAGGGATCCTTCAATGACAAACGCACGTCCTCAAAAATGGCAAAAATCCATAGAAAAGGTGTGCAATTTTCCTATTAAAAATAACATTACAAATGGCAAGTAAGTGTGAGTGTAGAGACACTGCCAGTACTGGATACCAGTCGTAACTACGGATTGCATTGCGCCAATCAATGTAAGTTTTACAGATTTTATTGATTGTTTTGATTTGCCAAATTTAATAAAAGGATAAAAAGTGACAGCAATTTAGGGAGAGAATTGGATAATATCTGAACATGGAGATAATAAATGTCAACATTGCCGGTACTGCGCAGTAGAGAGAGAATTCAGGTGGGTAGTTACTGGGAAACTGTCCCAACTCTAAACGGACAGGGATTTATTTATCAAGCTTCCAAGGAGAGAAATATATGTATCTTGTCTTTGTTAATATTTTGGATTTACATCAATCCCCAAGACGAGTTGACGCACAGGAGCAGACGGTGTTGAGGGCTCTGCTCAAACATACTTACATTCTAGAGGTCAAGTGCCACTAAAGGTAAGGGTAGAATGTATTCCATATATGGGAAAAAGTAGGTTACTGCAATAGTTTTGTAGTTAAAGGACCACTCTAGGCACCCAGACCACTTCAGCTTAATGAAGTGGTCTGGGTGCCAGGTCCAGCTAGGGTTTACCCATTTTTTAATAAACATAGCAGTTTCAGAGAAACTGCTATGTTTATTAATGGGTTAAGCCTTCCCCCTATTCCCTCTAGTGGCTTGCGCGCATTCAGCCGGCGGGGCGTAACGGAGGAGAGGAGGCAGAGAGCTCCCCGCCCGGCACTGGAAAAAGGTAAGTTTTAACCCCTTTCCCCTTTCCAGAGCTGGGCGGGAGGGGGTCCCTGAGGGTGGGGGCACCCTCAGGGCACTATAGTGCCAGGAAAACGAGTATGTTTTCCTGGCACTATAGTGGTCCTTTAAGGATAAGTTTATTGGCTGGCAAGTTGCAGGAGAGGAAGCAGGGTGTATTACCAAAGTGCGGGGAGGGAAAGCCATTAACAGTTTAAATGCTTTCCAGAATAAGTGGGATTTTAATGATCTTTATAAGGAACTGGGTGAGAGTCTAACGGAGCCGAGAAGGGAGTTTCACAGGATTGGTGCAGCCCTAGGCGAGTCTTAGAAGCAGGCGTCAGAGGTGCAACTACGAACAGAGAATAACGTTCCAATAAAAAATATAAACTTATGGAGAGAAAGATAAACAACAAAATAAATGAGTTTGTTCTGACAGGATAATCAAAGAGTTAAGCCTTCATTTATTTATTTTTATTTTAAGTATCTGAGAGTCCTCTGTTCTTGTGATGGCGTCCCAGTCCTTAGCACCCTGTAATCACAAGGTTAATCTCCTCTAATGTTTCTAATTTACAGTTACTTTAGCCTGTGCCATACATTTATATTAAGGATTCATTTGACTCATTTCATGTTGCCAAATACATGGATTCCTTAAATTGTCCCATTAAACTCCAATAAACAAATCCCAACAGATTGCTTTATCCACAAATCTGGCTATTGGCCTTAAAAGCTACGTTATCCCTGTGGCAAGTCTTATGGTCTGTGCAGCTGATACGTAGGATATCATGGGATCGTGGCATTATCTGGTTTTTAAGCAAGATTTCAAGTGAATGATGAAATGACAAGTCTGAGACAAGGAGACAGAATAAACCACAAGAATTATATTGGATTGAGGAATTGAATATCCTGTAATAGGTATGAGCAGAGACTCTGATCTTTCTCCATATCTGTGATGTATTATTACGTATTGAGCATTATATTACGTATGGTTTATTAATTATCTGTCTTTTCTAGCACAGAAGCTGAATGTAAGAGTGATCTCCTTTGGCAGAAATCGGATCTTCCTGATTACAATGGCTCAACAGGTAAGATGGCTATACCCAACATTTGTATTAATATTTGCTGATTGTTTGAGAACAGTGATTAGTACTTACACATAAAAGCTGGAAAAAGGGGTCTATGATCACAAAATCACAGAAGTTGTAATAAAGAGCTTGTGATGTTCAAGCACATATATTAAAGTGGAAATGTCAATTCTCCGGAATGTATACCAGCAAATAACACATGAAAAAAGGTTAATACTAGTTGTAGGTGAATACAAATACAAAAAGATAAGTCCTGCGCTCACTCCCATCACTACTGGGCCGGCAGCAATGACTACAGTGCACATCAGCCCCAATAGAGAGTAAAAACCAAAGAAAAAGTTACCTGCACTCTCCCCTTAATCCCTATGTGTATTTAGACAAATGGAGGTCATTTAGTTGCTCCAATGGCCATTGGAGGGAATGCCCACCTGCCAACGTCAAGGCAGACACCCCTACAGCGGGTCCTACACTGACCCTTTCACCTTGCTTCCTTGAGCTTCTGGCAAAGATATCTCTAATGAGAGAGGGGTATTTTTTTATATACACCCCTATATACTTATTAGCCCTTAATAGGGAACACATGGGATGGGAGGCAGTTGTAGGTGAGTGTTAATGAGATGCTCTGTTTTCATTTAATGTTTTATTAAAGATTTAGCAACTTACAGCATAATCCAGTTCAGACAAGGCTCAGGCAGGGCACACAATGCAAATGAGAAATAGAAAGATTGTTTCATTTCTCGTCTCTATGCTGACTGCCAGGTGCAAAGGGCGGAGCTTATAACAATGATTGACAGGGAGCCAAGATGGAGGCACCCATCTCCAGGTCAAAGAGGTGTGGATTTTTTTTTAATTATTTCCTTTCACATCTCACAAATACATATATGTTTAATATATGGATAATTAAATCTATTACATTTCCTGGGAAGTGACTTTCGATCTTAATGTTAATAACCATATTCATAAAACATGTAATAAAGTAACAGGATATCTTTACCTTTCAGATAAAGACATTTGTCCAATAACCATAAAAACGTATTCAGGATACACGTCTGTAAACAAAGGGTGACACACTGTACTGTTTTGCTCGTTAGCACAGAATTAGGAATAGGAAATGTCTTGGTACTCAGAGATCGGGACAATCTTGAGCAATTAACGATCTTTTAATTTGTCATATTACTAAACCCGGAATATGGTTTATCGAAAGAAATCTATATGTTGTTTTATATAAGGGATTTCTTTTGGCGCAATGCTTATATTTTTAACGCATCCTTTATTAAGAAAACATATTAAATTATATATATTTTATAATTAGCGTAAATCAGTTGGTGCAAATGTTTTAGCTATACATTTTATTAATTGTCCTGATTTGGGGGAACTCTCATATTTAAATATTTATGTTTAAATTAGATTTTTATAGTTAAAGGTCACATAACAAAGTGCGTGATTGTTTCAATATTTATATTTTTAGTTATATAGTTTGCATTCTAGGAATTTTAGCTTATATACAATCATAGCGCTCAAAATAACAACAAAAAATAGCTGCATGAAAAATGTCAAAATGCACCTAAAATGCACGTGTCTGCATTTCAAAGTAATACTTTTATCAGTATCTTACAATGGCCTTGATTTTAATATTTTACATAATATTAAATAATTTTAATAGTTTATCCAAAAATATTAATATTAAAGTGATTAAGGTTCACCTGATTCATGCTATGCATAAGGATATAGTGCTGCTTTTAGGACATGTGTACTATGAATTTCAAACTGTAATCTTACATTGAAAGAGTCACAGAATCAAGAGAGGTTAGAGAAAGTTATGAAACTTCCGGGTTAAAGAAACTTTGAATTGAATAAAGTTATGGTTAGGGTTGGTGAGAGTTAACGTTAGAGACTTGGGTTTCGTTAGACCCGGTTAGCCTTACGTTTGCCTTCCATGTGAGAATGATGGCAGTTGAAGGACTAAAGCCAGTGGACATTATATTATTTTTAAATAGTCAAACGAGGGGAGGGAGGGCAGAGCCTGACCAGTGAGCTGACAAGACGTGTCTCGCATGAGCTCCTGCTGTATGAGCGATATACACAGAAATTTTTCGTGCTGAAGTGCTGGAAAACTCGATATACAGAGCCCTACAAGCCTTTGACACCAGTACCAACGATTTGAGTGTCCCCGCGGATGACCCCCCAATCTGAGCTGCCACAGCCTCATACTCATCAGTGGGCCCTGCATTACTCCCCAGCTGAATGGGAGCAGAGGTCTCCAAGATGGCGGACATACCAGGCCCAGCTACACATGGCCTGCGACTGCAACAGCCTGACACGTCAGGCCCTATTAACAAAGCAATGGACACTCTTGAAGCTATCTTCGACAGATTCTGGCCTAAGCTGCTAGACCACACAAGGCCGGCAATGGCTACACACGTGGCACCTACAGGAGAACAAGATCGCTGCAAGGGGAGGCCTTGGAAACCTCTCAAAGGCGCAAAGTTGTCCCAAGCTTCTGCAACCTGCACACGCTGCCCGCCTGGGTCGAGAGTGAAGAGGGTTCTGACCCAAAAGTACCAGCCACACACACGGAGGGCTATAAGGCGCAAACAAAGACCCCCACCGATAGCACGCAGTGTCTACCATACTATAACGAACAGGAAGACCCTGGACCTCAAAGGATTTCAGGTTCGTGGCAAGGGGGTACCGGCTCTCCCACAACCCCAACGCTGTACTACTCCCCAAAGTGGACTGAGCCCATATCTGAGCCATGACCCCCGTAGGAGAGTCGGATGACTGTAATGCCTATTAGCTCGAGGGGCTATCATGGTTACCCGCACCTTAAGTCCACCACGAATTACACTGGACTCAGATGCCAAGCTCTGCTAAAGATGGTGCCAGATCGGGCGGTATACCTACGCAGCTTGACTACCGATCATATCACATTCTGTGTTCTCTTAAAGTCTACTCTTCCTAATGCAATTTGCATGCCTTATAGTACTGCAGTTTCTAGACACATTTTAGTTAGTCTACAGGAAATTAGGCTCCACAGGTGCTTATTCTATGTCTATGTTTACAAGTACCTTTCTCACACAGAATGGTATAGACAGATACTCTCCATGCTTTACTAGGCTGGTCACAGCTTTTCTTACATACTATTCTCCCAACCTCTATAACTAAAGCTTGTGTATTGTTTTACTCAACTTGCATCTCAATACTGGTCTACGCTTCACCTAATGATACCTTAGAGCTTATCTCCTCATGATTCTGCAATTGCATCACTAACATTATCTAAAGCTACTCCATCTTGTTTTACCTTATCCTAACTAAAAATAGTGGTACACAGGCATGGCATGTAGATACGTTGCACTATGTATGATTATATATGTCGGTTGATGCAGTCATGGCGCCACAAACTTGTTTGTAACTTCCCGCACTGCAAAAAAAAAAAAGTCAAAGTGCAAACCATGCACAATTTCTTTATTAAATCTTATTTTTTCCCTCTTCCAACATTGGACTCTAGGGGGTGGAAGGGGTTAAATTTACCTCTTTCTCCAGCGCCGGGCGGGGGACTCTCCTCCTTCTCGGCTGAATGCGCATGCACGGCATGAGCCGCGCACACATTCAGCCAGTCCATAGGAAAGAATTCACAATGCTTTCCTATGGAGGCTGGTGTATTCTCACTGTGAAAATCACAGTGAGAAGCGCGGAAGCGCCTCTAGCGGCTGTCAATGAGACAGCCACTAGAGGCTGGATTAACCCTAATATAAACATAGCAGTTTCTCTGAAACTGCTATGTTTACAGCAGAAAGGGTTACTCCTAGATGGACCTGGCACCCAGACCACTTCATTAAGCTGAAGTCGTCTGGGTGCCTATAATGGTCCTTTAACTCTGCAGTTGTAATAATTGCATTGGAGGGCTATCTCCACCTCTGCATGCTGTCTACGCCGCTGCCCCCCTTCCTCCCCCCCTTCAGTATGCCACTGCAGCCACCACTAAGGTTTTGCTAATGTTAGCAATTTCAAAGCTACAAAATGTATTTGAACAATTAGTAATAATAGATTGTGACTGGAAAAGTAACAATAATTACCTATGGATTTTTATTTTGTGTTAAATTTTAATACAACTTACCTTCAACTTTGCTTTGGGCCTGTTTTCGGTTTTGTTTTTTTAAACCGACACAGAAACCAATTTCTCTGTCCATGTCATTCAGATTACTAAATCACAGCCCCATTTTATATGAAAACAATGCTATTATATTTTCTATGTAAATATTTTTTTTTAAATTATCCCTTTAGTATTTTTTGTAAATGATGAATAAAATGTAGTGTGTAAATGTACACATTTTAAAATTATTTATTCCTTAACAGCAAGCCATACAGAATTGTTTTTGTATCCAAACACGGACATATATGCCTAAAAGAAATGTTCAGCGGAATTATTTTTTGTTACTGGGCAAATAACTTGGCACTGAAAGATATCCTAGGTGCCCGACAGAATTATGGACATAACCTAATTATTGGCGACACTAACCTCCTTAATGTCTCAGTATGTCTGGTCTAATCCAATGTTCTATTGTTACATCAATTAAAAGGTTTCATTTGATAAAAAAAACCAAACAAAAAAAAAAAACAACCAGCCCATCAGAAAATTTACATTTGCCAATTTGCAGGCAGAGTAAATATTTTGGTTACATTGAGGATAGGTGGTTTTAACATATTTAAAATGTGTTCAGAATAAATCTCATTTCCTGGATCCCAGCTGCTAAACTTTATTGATTGGGGATCAGAGGAACGGAAATGTAATCTATTGATTGCTTACCTCGGTCAAAATTGCTGTTGGAAATTGAAGCTCATTAAACATTATTGTCTGGTATCTGTTGTTTCAGTGTTACTGCAGAAGTGTGTCTCTACTCAGGATATATCATTTAAAAGTATCGGGGAAAACAAATAATTTTGTGTAGTGGTTTTGGTTTGTAATGGCAAGAAGTGCCCTGGCATCCCTCCAGTGTAGTAGCTAAACCATGTAAGAACAATTTAACCCCTTAAAGTGAGCCAGCCAGTAGAAGGGATCTCATTGCACCATAACAACTTACGTTTTGAAAAAGTTGTTATGGTGCCTCGAGCATTCCCTTAAAGAATCACTATAGTGTGAGGAAAACAAATCCGTTTTCCTGACACTATAGTACCCTGAAGGTCCCCCTTCCATGGTGCTGAAGGGATTAGAACCCCTTCAGTTAATCACCTTCTTCCACCGCTGGGCGCTCTTAACTCTCCTCCCCTGCAGACGTCAACGGAGCGGAATGCGCATGCGCGGCACTGCCACGCGCACATTCAAAGTGTCCATAGGAAAGCATTTTTCAATGCTTTCCTATGGACGCTCTGCGTGATGGGAGGCATTAAATGCCTCCAGTGTCGCAGAAGCGCCTCTAGTGGCTGTCCGGAAGACAGCCACTAGAGGCTGGCTTAACCCCAAATGTAAACATGTTTACATCAGGCAGGGTTAACCCTAGAGGGACCTGGCACCCAGACCACTTCATTGAGCTGAAGTGGTCTGGGTGACTAGTGTCCCTTTAAACAGAATACAATCAGGACGAATACATTAATCTATTGAGCAGTTAAAGAAATATAGCTCCTAAGTTTCAGTTTTGTTTATTAATAATTTATGTATTTTTTTTTTATATTATACCGTGTTGTCGTACCATTTTAGAGAAAAATTTAAAAAATACAATATATCTTTTTAAAAAATATGTCATGCATTCTCATAATCCAACACAAAGACTAGAATCAAAAGTAAAACATCCAAAATGGTTTGTTACAAACGCCCAGTCTAAGGAAAACCTTGGCCATTATGGGGTTAACTAATGACACTCTAGGCACCCAGACCACTAGAGCTCATTGAAGTGGTCTGGATGCACTGTCACAGGTCCCTTAACCCTGCATTGGTAATTAATTACATTTATGGGTTAACTCCACCTCGAACGGCTGTCCCCCAGACAGACCATACTTCCGGTTCATTAGGAGAGTTTTGGTTGTCACCTGAAACCCCCCATAAGAAAAGTCTTACTGCAATGGACCACACATCCCGGTTGAGAGAGTACTGATCTTGTGAATAGTCACGTTTGTTATTTGCACAAATTGTTTTACCAATTTCTTGCCTTTATACCGTACATGTATTCATGTGTGTCTTAGCAATGTTTCAGCCAAACTTGTCTTTCAAGCTGACTGTTGTGTTTTGAAATTTTTCCTCAACAGTTTCCTGGAGGGTCTGGACCTTCTTCACTTCTATCTAATTCAAGTGGAGGCAGAACCAGAAACAGCGCAGAGGGACATCAGCCCTGAATCAGGTAAGTCACATAAGAGGTTTCTAACCTTTTTTGCACCACATGGTGGGGGGTGGGGGGAAGATACTGTAGGGAGCTCACTCTAGTTTCCCTTTAAAATATGCTTTTCATGACAATTTTTTGTTAAAGATAGCATTCACACAACAACAATAATGTCCTGCAAATTGATTTTATTTAGAAGTGATAACAGAGGTCAGTTAGCATAAGAACAAGCAGAAATCATTAACTGATGTATAAGATAGGTTAACCGGAACCATATCCTGTAAATTAAAACTTTTCTGTAAAATCTGAAATTTAAATATAAAACACTGAATTGATTTTAAACAATTTCTTTGCAAAGTGCACGGTTAGCAGTTTAGTGGCTTATAATATTAGAATTACATTAAATACGTATTCGTTGGAATGAGGCTCTGGATAAAATCTTTTCCTGTTACAAAACACTTAAAATTTTGTTTGCTTTTTAACCTACAAAAAAAAAAAAAAAGGGTTTTAAATATTGTGTAGATACAGAAAGCGGCTCACGTCCTATTTTATTTTCATAGTGCTGAAAAAGCACTGAAAGCGTTTTGCCTCTCGCCATAAGCATATTCTGCACAGCAAGAATCTACATCTTCCCCAAATAGGAAACATTGTGAAAATATAAATACAATAAATAAATCAGCCAAATTTGGGGAGGGGGTGGTGTTTGAAGCATATTTACTTTGAGTAGGCTTAGTGACTTCCTGTTATGCAAGAGTAGACACAGCATACAAGGGGTTTACCACCATCTTCCCATCCAAACAAAAACCCAACAAATGGAAAGCATGACCTGAATTGTATTCTATCTACATAACCATTGGCAATTCACAAAGGCTTAGATTTGTTAGACATTTTTCTGCAGCAGACAGGTGAGGAGGGACTGGGTGACATGACCGATTAGGTGGTGGGAACTTCTGTCAAAGTAGGTGTGAGATTGAGAAGCACAATGGTGAGAGGACTCGGTAGCCAGAGAAAGGAAGCAAGCAAGAATAAAATGGGTGAGCAAGCATGAAATAGAAAAGAAGAAATGGGCAAGTCTTTGTGTCTGAAGAAAGACAGAAAGGATACATTATTTGGGCGGGAGACGACAACTAGGATAAACCGTAACAGGTAGATGGTGACTTCAGGAACATTAAAATAGAGAGAAACTTATTGCCACACAATAAAAACCCAACGACAGCTCTCTGTCGACACCTTTTTGGGGGGGGAGGCTGTGCCACCTTGTCTTCCTAATGTATCTTTTTCTTCAATCCGTACACTCTGATGTTAATCTTCTCAGAGCCAATCAAGAAAACATCACAATTCCACTTCATACTTTCTTGTCTGCTTGCATTTGTTATGTTAGGCAAGATTCTTCTTCTGGGAAAGAAAATTCTACTGTTGGAGACATCTCTTATATTGGCCATGAGTTTAGCATAGTATTTGAAGTAACTTTTTGGAGCAGGTTTGGTTGACCATCAAATGTGTCCTTAAGTGGACGGTCTGCCTTTGTAAAGTAGTAATGAGTAAATTTCTCCTCTTTAATAGTCGACCTGGGTGCTTCTGCATGTACCCCCATGCTACGTTTGCGTGGCTCAAATACTTTGTGATTCCACTTTAGACTCATCGAAAAGTCGAGACCCCCAGTTTGCCCAGAACTTTCTTCACATCCTTTGTGCTGGAATCCAAGTGTCAACTTGAGGTGGGTTTTGCATTCATTAATGAATATTTACAAAAGTTCACAGGTAGATTAAATGTTTATATGCCAGTGATAAGCACATAGCCCTGTCACACAACTGGTAAAAAACATGAGATAAATGATAACCTCTGAATTGATAGAGAATGTACACGTACACAAAATAATCTTTAACATACAAATGAAGACTGCATAGTTATCGCTGTCATTTTTCAGACACTTTATACTTAATTGAACAAATAAAGTAGTTTTGTCTTTGAATGTCCTTTAAACCCAAAAGATAATATCACATAGCAGGTAATCCAGACACGGATCGGCTTCATGTTTATTGCATTTTAAATACCATCCACAGTTTTAAAAAAATAAATAAAAATAAGGAGGGGTGGCCCTCCATTCATAGTTCGCAACACAAAATATGTACAGAAAAAATGACCAGGAGTCTTACATCATATCATCGCCAGATATGGTGGCGGTGTTTTGGGGGTTTAATTTTTTTATAATTATTAACACTTGTTTCTGTATGTAGTTTGTAGCGATTACCACTCCTTTATGAAAAAGGCACCCACTACTAAATGCCAATTTTGTTAATTGACTTTAGGTAATGGTTGCTGGAATCACTGGGAGCCATTTTACTTTCAGAAATTAAACCGCTTTCAAATAGTTTAATCGTGAAGTTGTCCGTCCATGCACCTATTCTCTTTTCTTCCCTGGCGGACGTAGAGTGTTATGTATTGTCACTCACAATGCACAGCCAGTGATAGGATGTCTGTTACATCCTTTCTGTACTGTGGAGTGCTGGGGGGAGATAACTAAGGGTTAAAGTATTTAGCCCCTTAAAGGGACACTATCGTCACTAAAACATCTTAATGAAGCAGTTTTTGTGTATAGATCATGCTTCTAAATGGCAGAGAATTGAGTAGTGAGACTTCAGGAGTTAAACCACTTTAGTTTATCAATGCAGCCCTAGCCACACCTTCCCTGGCTGTGACTGACGCAGCTTCCATGAAAACAAAAACTTTCAAAGTAAGTTACATCTGATTGGAAATTAAACCATTTTTTCTCCTGTTCTGCAAATTGAACTTTAATTACATACAGGAGCAAGCTATTAAAAGTTCAGGATATACATTCTAGATTAAACAGAATTTGCAATTAATGAAGTGTGTAAACATTAGATGACTCTGTACCGGAAGTGTTTAGGAAGGCTGTGTAAGTCGCATGCAGGGAGGTGTGACTAGGGCTGTATAAACAAAGGGATTTAACTCCGAAATGGCAGAGAATTGAGCAGTGAGACTGCAGGGGCATGATTTATATACCAAACTGCTTCATTAAAGGACCAATATAGGCACCCAGACCACTACAACTCTATAAAGCAGTGTGGGTGCCAGGTCCCCCTAGTTTTAATCCTGCAGCTGAAAACATAGCAGTTTTAGAGACACTGCAGGGTTAATCCAGCCTCTACTGGCTGTCTCCCTGACAAGCACTAGAGACCGCTTCCACGATTTACACTGAGTAAATCGATCGCACTTCTTTGACACTGGACGTCTTCACGAGTCCAGCGTCAAATAAGATCCCCATAGGAAAGCAATGAGTAATGCTTTCCTATGGGCAGGTTTGAATGCGCATGCCTCTGGCCGTGCATGTGCATTCGGCTCCACCGATGTCGGCAGGGGAGGAGACATTACCAGTGCCAAGGGAGCCGGCTGCTGGATTGTTAAGTTTTAACCCCTTCAGCGCTGAGTGAGGGTGTCTCTCCAAGAGCCTATAGTGACAGGAAAACTATATTTTTTTTCCTGGCACTATAGGATCTCTTGAAGCTAAAGTTGTTTTAGTGACTATAGTGTCCCTTTAAGGTAAAACTGTGCCCAAGAACTTCTGCCACTCCTGATGGGGGAGCTTTCATTTAACCAACAATTAATTTCATTGCACCTGCCAAGGGGGAACAATGGAGATATTACAAATTCACTATGCAAGCACAGTATGTGTTCCAATGGAAACACATTATTTAATCAATCTATGTATTATGCTGATGAGCTGAAACATTTAAAGATATGGCAGATGTGGTTTGATAGATATTGGACTGACCCTACACTTGAAAAGCTGAAGCGGTTTCTGCACTCCTGGTTACGAACACGTTGCTAAAGATTTAGAATGTGATTTTGTTCAGCGAATACAATTGAGCTTTCACTTTTTTCATATGGATGCTGAATGTTTTTATAGCAACTCCATATAAATAAAATATAGAATTATGGTTAGAATGGACACCTGGCATGCTGTTTGCATGTGGATTTGGAAATGCCCCAAAGGCACAGAAACTCCAGGAATCACTTCACAACCAAAAAATGGAGGACACAAACAAAAAAGGGACAGGCCATATAAGCAGGGGGCATGGCACAAGGGAATAATTGTTTTCATGGCTGTAAATCAACGGCTTTGGCTAAATGTTTAAGTGGTTTAAACTAATATTGCAAAGTGCTGTAGAATACGTTGGCTCTATAGAAATGTAAAACTAAAAGTATAGATTAGCACTGCCACTAATGAGAATATACAATTTGTGTCATTTACTCTTGATTCATCCATGGTGGATGAAAATAGACTATACTGTAATGATACTACTTACAATAGTACATATAAGTTTAATTTTATCCCTACTTGGGTGAGGGTTGCATATATATATATATATATATATATATATATATATATATATTTGTTTTATATATACTTTTTGAGACCATAGATATTTATTGATCAGTCCTACCAGCATGAAAAGGAAATCAAGAAATGGTAGGGGGTTAGTTTGGGCTGTCCCCTTCCTCCACGCAAAGAAAGGAGGGGGGGAGAGAGAGAGGGGGAGAGGATGTTCCGTTTTAAGCTGAATAAGCTTAAACAATCACTCTAATACCAATATAGTCTAACACAGGGGTAGGCATCCTCTAACACTCCAGAGGACTACATCTCCCCTGATGCATTGCCAGCATTATATGAAATGCGGAAGGTTGCCTACACAAAATCTAGATGTAACAGGCACAAAATATCTGGATATAAAGAACATTTAAAGTCGTTCTACTGTAAAATTAACTGATTTACTTTCCAAAATCCAGGCTGAAGTGCAATAAGGGTGAGAAAACATAACCCAAACTACAGGACCCCAGTCAAGGAGCAAGCAGCCAGAATCATAAATGCTATATTTGGCTGGAGACACAGAAAACCTGCAGCATTACATCTATATATTGCGAGCAATACAATGGAAAATAAAGGGAATGCACTAAATGTGTTTATAGATCACATTATTATATGGGCTGAGTTAACCAATTTTAAAATTATTCAAAAATTTCAACTCAATTCCGAATCTACAAACATCGACCTTACCTGTACAAGTAAAACTGTTTGGTATCGATTAGTTTGACAATCAAAAGGGATGATCTGCAAATGAACATGCTCACATAAATATTTTCCCAAGTCTAGTAGTCACGTCAGTCTGGACTGGGAAACTTGGTATTCTGCTAATGCTAATTAAAATAGACTTTTGCAAAAGTCTATGTTTTGCCTGAAATCAACCATAAGAGGTGGTCTTCATTACAACAGAAAACAATGCCGATAAAACTTAACACAATACTTCATTTGAACTTGTTAAAATAAAATTCTGTCTATGCAGGACCAACGATATGCTGTGCAGTTACTGAAATCAGACCTTTACAGCTCTCACACAAGCATGGAATGACCAGATCTAGATGCCCTGATCACAACCATTATTGCACTTCTGAGTACTTTTTGAGTTCTACGAGGTTCTTTCACATACTTCGATTTACATCTTGTAGTAAATACCTCAACTTTTTGGAAGGTATGTTAAATAGCTGGTGCTGATGGATGTTTAAAGTTGTCTGGGATTAAAGCTGTGCTAGGGTATGACTTTGGGGTGTGGGGGGTGTCATTAATGAGCTGCATCCAGTTGTATATGTGTATATCCACTCTCTCCTCTTCCTCTCTTGCTGAAGATGTGGCTGGGTACTAACTGCACCCAACGTGAGCTGGATGCTGATATACTCTTAGGACTTCTATAAGTACTTGAAAAATGTGATCAAAAGTTTAATAAATAGCATACTTAGTGATTCTGGGCTGTGTTTTGTAATTGGTATATATTTAGAATCAAAACTTGACTTTTGCTCATTACAAACAAGATGTAAATACAATCTGAGAAAAAAATCCCATAAGAAATTTTAGTTCAAACTGTGATTTTTTTTTTGCAAGATGTAAATAGGGCTGAGGATGTGCAAACAAAATCACTTGTGCAGATTTTAACAATGTCTTTGATCCCTAAAGAATCAATTAGTGCACCTTTACAGAAAAGGGCCGGTCAAACATAAGTGTTATTTATTGACCATGCTAAAATGAGCTAATCAGATTTGGTATATTAACCAAATTAGAGTTTAGTGTTTGCTATATCACCATTGTAATGAAGAATACTTGTAAAAATGTACAGAGAAGTATTGAATTAAATGCAGATTGCAACATTTTACTCAATGTAGCCTTGCAGCATTTCAAATCACCTCTAATTAAAAAGATCATCAAATCCTATTGCAGAGAAATTAATATCTTCATAAGTAAAACCCTGTAGTTTTTAAATATTTTGACTAGTCCAAGTTGGAGTTTAAACAATACACACATTTTGTTTAGACTTGCACACACATACTTTTCAGCTAGGATGAACAAATCAAATGCCTTTTAATGCACCTGAACAAATCAAGCTATCTGGGATCTACCTGTGGAGTCTTATTCAATAAGCAAGTGGACACATCTTGCCATTTTAATAACTGATGCAAATGCAGTCTGGCAAGACTGGGGGAAAATGTGTAGGAGTGAAGATAAGTCAGCTGAGTATAGAAACCCTTATAGGAGGCAGGAAAAGACTGAAATATAAAAAGACATGTTTTTACAAATACTAGACTTACATGTAAACTTGGCCCCTTATATAAGAGTACACCCTTTCTACGACATTTTATCTGTTTTTCTTCTCAAGGCAGATGTTCTAATTATTTGTTTTAATTACGCATGATTGAAGAGATTTAAAATTTTAGACAAAATTGAAAACGAGGACATTTGTAACGATAAAGGGTATAAGTAATTGTGTGAATTCACTGCCAATGAAAAAGCTATACACATACAGTTGCACACATTTTGAAATATTCTAGAGCACATTAACATCTAATGGAAACTTCTAACCCTCAAACTACACCAAGAATGTGATTTTAAGCATTTGTCATTTTGGTTTTAAGTGAAATTGTTAATAATAGCACATATTAACAGAGCGAATTAAGACTGCATTTTCATTGGGAGGGAAAGGACTCCAACACATAGGTACAACCTACCTTCGTGTTAATGGCTTCCTGACAGATGGTGTGTCAAGTCTATTTAGAAACAAAAAGCACCTACCCCTGGTGGCTATGGAATTTTATATCACGTAATAGTCTGGTTTCAAGGTCTCTCACGATTTTCAGTTTCTTTAAAGAGCTGCTAAGTGCATGCATATTCTAAAAACTAAATTTAAGTGTGTGGGAAAGAATGTTTAAATGGACATTATAGTCACAAAAACAACTTTACCTTTTAGCTTATAGAAGCCGTTTTGGTGTATAGCTCATGCCCCTGCAATCTCACTGCTCAATTATCAGCCATTTAGGAGTTAAATCACTCCGACGCCTGCACGCTGGCAATGAAGTCAGCTTTATGGAGAAAGTTTGCCCTGCTTGGGGAAGTATCGGCAAATCAGCAAAAAACAGAGGAGAGGTGCGTGCAGAAGTGTAACACCGACCTCTTTAATGAGATAGCGGCAGGGGAATGGAGAGTAAAGGTTAGTCAAGACAACTACCCTTTAAAGGGACAATCAACACAATAGAAAAGGCAAGCTAAAGTACTTTCTATGTGAACACGGTCCTCTTTTTCATGAAAAAAAGTGCAGATTTCAATAGAAATGGGCACATTTATAAATTAACAACAGTTCCTGTTACTTCCTGGTTTGTTTAGCTCAGTGGAGCTAAACTCAAGAGGCAGCAATTGCGCAGAGCAGCTGCATTGGGAAATATGTGATTGGACAGCCACAGAAAGTCTGGGCGGGGTTAGAAGGGGAGGGCTTGCAAAGGCTGCAGACAAGAGATCTGCAGCTTTTGCAAGCTGTTTTTAGATACAGCCTCTGTGAAAAATGCATAATTATAAATAAATAGTAAATTAATGTTTAGTATTTATACCCCCAATTAATATTTAAGTGAGTGAGTAAAATTAATTTAGTGGTCAACTAGGCAGTAGAACAGGACTAGATCATTGCATTTATTTCTAAGGGTTCAAGACACAGACAGCAAAACTCATAGCTTCTAGAGCATAACTGAAGATTTGGTAGGAGAAATGATTAATGACTGGGGGGATTTTGAGTCTCCTTTACCTTTCTGAATGCACAAGCACTATTAAAACAATAACGTACATCTCACCACAATCAATACTTATAGCGATAGAACTTGGGCATTAAGAGCTGCCTAAAAGTAGTAAGACTCACTGTTCCTTTAACAGATAATTACTGAAAATCTATTCTGAGAGCCATGGGACCTGGTCATACAAAATAAGAAATGGAGTTTTAGTGAAGGAATTGCATTAATTTGCAAACAGACCTGCAAAAGGTTTTAGTGGCTATAAAACCAATTTCCGCTGAGTTATATTTAAAGAAACTGTAAAACTACTGCAGAAATTAGAACTGCAAAGTAATTCATCCTTTAACGTCAAATTACATTCAACAAAAGCTTTTTTTCTTCTTTTTTTTACGCTGAAAAAAAAAAATGTTTAAAGAATGATTTTTCTAAATTGTAAAAATAAAAAGTAACATTCCTCTTGGGGGAAAAAGAAAAAAGAAGCTAAAAACAGCTAAACAAATTGAACAGAGAAAAACCCAAAATGATGAATAAGCTGCTGGTATGCATGCCATAGCATTGACATCTGATCAGTTCAAAGGACACTGGAAAAAGGTTATCTATTTGCTCCCCATTACTAAAATTATAAAAAGATCAATTCTAATATTAGTGGTGAAAATTTCACAGTATTTAATTTTTTTTTTCTTTTTAACAAAGCTTTATTGTTTGTTATAAATACCATCAGTCAACAGGACCCTGGAAAATAAGTTTGACACAGCTTTCTTCACCAGTCAGTTGTGTTGCACAGAAAGGGCAGGCAGCGTGAAATGCATGTGTACCATGAGGAAGTGGGATTTGAGACCAATATTTGGCAGATTTCTCTGAGCAGACATGTCCACATGGGCTGAAAGCATGGGTGGGAGGGCCAGCATCTACATAAAATCCTGCTTCGCAACCAAGCCAAAGAGGCACATACGGGCCAATTGTTCTACACATCGGACACTCTCTCTCGTTTGCTTCTGTGTCACTGCGGTGACCCCAGTTATGATACCCGTGTACGTGACCACAAGTGAGGTAAGCCCAAGGCTGTTTTTCTTCCACAACATCTTTGCGGTGGATACTGGGGAAAGCTAGGGTGTTTAATCCAACAGGGCACTGAGGTCTGGCAGCATTGATTTCCTGTCGCAAAGCTTCAATATGTTTTTGAGTTGGAGTTTGTAACAAGCCATCTGCTGTTCTCCAAAGAAGGGTGGCACCACATAAGTCAACTAGAGACCCGTCCTGAAGAATATTGGTCTCGTTTTCCACCTAGGGCAACCAAAAACATAGGTATGTTACTGTATTTTCATTCAAAGCTAGAATAGGAAAATTCCCGTAATCAACATAACCAAATGAGTAGATAGGGCTGTAAAAAAAAGAATAGTGTAAAGCTGACTTAAGTGACCTAAAGTATATAAAGGTATTTCTAATGGGTTGGCTAAACACCCTAACAGGTCAGACATTTTATCAGATCTAAATGCATGAGATGTTAGAAAACCTTTAGGTGATCTCACAGTAAACTACACTCTGCATTGTTCTAGATAAATCTACCTACAGATCAACTAAGAGAACTTTAAAATAGTAGGTTACTCTATTTCAAGTTGCACCCTCCTCCAGGATAGGCAACCTTCGGCATTCCTGATTATGTGGACTACAGCTCCCCAGATGCTTTGCCAGCATTATGCCTGTAAGATCAATGTGGGAGATGGCGTCCACAACATCTGGAGTTCCAAAGGTTGCCTTCCACTGCTCTAAATTATTTATTTTGTACATTTAATATGAGAATATAGCATTATATCTCAAAAGCAATGTAGTTTGTCTGAAGAGAAGTACATAACAGCAACACAACAGATCCTGATCCCCACCCCCCTCCCCAAAAAAAATTATCTTTAGAAACTCATTAACGCAACATTCAATATGTGCTTAAACATACACACATGAAAACTCTCTTGAAAAAGTGTTTGAACCGTTCCTAAACTATAACTCCTCACCTGATACTCTGGTCATCCACTTCATACAAAGGAATACTGGGAGTTGTAGGCCATAAAGTTCTGGTGAGAGCAACATTTAAGCAACAGAACCAGTGCAGCTTGCTGTAGTGCAGGGATCTCAGACAATGATAGTGTTGTCCCAGATTATGTCTAACCATTCCTAAACGGGTTCATTATCAATGGCTATCCTGTCCAAGCTGGACACCACTGATTGGCTGCGAACACTGGACTAAATCGCTTCCAGAACTCCAGCCAATCACCACTGTTCACATTGGACTACACTGGAAATTATAATGCAAAATGTGAATTCACTTTGCACTTTAAGGCTTATTTTAATAAAGTGTTCAGCCAGAATAGGGGATGGCGTTGGGGAACAAAAATAAAAGTAAATAGCAATCTTACAAGTTTGCCCCTTTGTTGCGCTGATCTCGTCTCTCTCAGTGTGTACACATCACCGCAGACAGAGATTTCTCGCCATACGCCGGGCTTTGACTCTTCTGTAAACCCGCCCCTTGGATGCATCACGAGAACACCATTGGTGGTTAATCCATCCATGTGACCATCAGGATTCTTCCACTTGGCAGCTTTCTCCTAACAAATAATCAAATAATGTGTTCTTTCCCAGAATTACACACAAAAAGTATAAACTGTAACCATAAAACATTTTAACGCCTTTAGTTTATCACAAGTAGTTGAACAGTCCATAAACTGTAAGCTCGTTTGAGCAGGGCCCTCTTCAACCTATCGTTCCTGTAAGTTTTCTTGTAATTGTCCTATTTATAGTTAGACACCCCCTAATAATATCATTTTCGACATTTATATAGCGCCAACAGATTCCGTAGCGCTTTATAATAATAACAGAATATCAGCATTTAGCTCTTTGCAGTAGAGATAAATTTAGGGACTCTCCATAATTGGAGCTTCTATGGTTTACCAGAAAAATGCAGGTATGTTATTTGGAGTTTAGACAGGTAATGTGGCCCAGTAAACATTTACAATGGTTGTAACAATTTATCAATGAACTTTGGATTCTGAAATATAATTTATTTACATTTTGAAAAAGCCGTATAATGATTTATTAGCAGAAAATCTTGATTTTAACATGATCAGCAAACCCAAGTGTTTATAAAATCTGAACTGTGTATCGCCCACTACTGCCAGCCATCTATATCCTCTATCAATGCATGGATTATACTTACACCAAGAAATATATTTTTTGAGGAGTCAAACCCAGCAGCAAAGATTCTAGCTGTGTAAGGTGGGTTCCGATCGCAGACTATTCTGCAGGCAAACCTGGATATTGTACTTTGTGTAATCTGCGTCTCTTCGTTCTGGTTACCAGAAATGGTGTCTGTTACTACAAAGTCAATTGGACTTTCTGTTGATCTTCCAATCTAAAGCAATATAAACAAACACTTATTATAAAAGGAGTTGTTACATGGAAAAAAAGAAAACATCTCAAAACACAGCAGCTAAAAACAAAATATAGCATTCGGAAAGAATTCTGGTTAATTGAAATAGAATTACAAATTAGGTCAAGAGTGACTATTAGAAAAAATAAAAACATCTTCAACTCTACTATAGTCACAGATAAGCAATATAATTTTTCATTCACTGTTTGGAGATTAGTTAATACACCAAAATATTTGAAATCGGACAGTTTTAAACATTTGTTTAGGATTACTCCAAGCACCATGACCACTTCAGTGATTTTAAGTCTGTATGTCATTTAAAAAGCTGCACACCCCTCTGCTGCTGGAGGTGTAACTGCACTGGGGCATCATCTGCCAGCACGGAACTACATTTCTGGGCTGGCTAGTGTCAATTCTGTGTATATTGCTATGCACAGAATTGCAATGATTGGCAGAATGATTGTGCTCTCAGAAAATGAATGTATCTGAATCTTACTGTAGTGATTATGACGCTTGGAGTAAGCCTTTATAAGCCAATCCAGACCACGAAAGCACTTAAGCTTGCTGAAAGGTTTTATATGTGAAGAGTGTACTCTTTATTTTGCACACAAAAATGCAGGTTTCAATAGAAACAGCGATATAGTGTGGTTTACTTATCACCAATATTAAACTTACTGTGATTTAATTCCCTTTAAATAAGAGTTTCAGGTGATAGGCCTTAAAGGGACACTGGAAACTATAACAGTTTCATCTAATTGAAGTGGTTATAGTGCCTGGAGGCTCCTGGGCTATCCCTCCATTCAGTGTTAAACCTTTTTAAGCAGTTTAACACTAAATCTGGGTCTCTGGCTTCTTACAACCAACCCCCTACTGAAAGTACAGAAAAGGCAGAGATTACACACTTTCTTCTAGCCATACCAATTCATACCAGCAATGAGCGCTGGGATTGGCTGAGAGTGTGAGTTGACCGCTTTCAGGTCAATGATTCCGAATTAGTCCAAGCAGCGGATAGAGGGGATTGGCTGCTGGGGACTCTCATTTAGCATTAAAACCCGTTAAATGCTGAATGGGAGAATGGCCAGAGGGAACTCCACACACTATGAAGGACTGACAGGAATTACACATTTTAGATTAAAACAGAAGAAAAGACCAAAATCTGCTTTTACTAGTTTGACAATTCTGGAGAATCGACATGGGAATTGCTAATAACATGGTAAAATCGTCATTTTCTAGGTTTTTTTTTGTAGGGTGGAGGGGTGTTCCTACCTGAAACATATCTGTGTCCTTGTCGTGAGTATATTCCACTACAACAGTCTGGGTTCTGGATAGTGTGTAGGAGATGCTGTGTTGACCTCTGCTGCTGATCGCCTGTAGAAATGGAAAACAAAGACACAAAAATTGATTGAACGCTTGTCGATGTTTCCAATTGTAGCTGTAGGGGAATGCACCATTTCCCCTATCAGATCTGGTTTTCAAAGAACAACGTTATTATTCAGTTCCTGGCCTAATGGAGTTTTACCTGCCTACTCGTTAAATGTCACACCGGCCCTATATGTCACGTTTCCAAAGAGGAACATGCAGACCATTGTGCTGTTCCGGCACCCAGACAGTTAATTATTTCAACAGAGTTGGGTTAAGCACTCTAGAGGGAGTCCTGCAATGTCATATGGCCCGTTAAACGGTTTACTTGTTTCTCCCATCCTTGAAAGAGTTAAGGCTCCATGTACAGCTTTACAATTTAACAAATTGGGGCACCAGGATTAAAACCAAATATGTGTAATGTAAATTATAGATATGGTCTCCCATGTATTGGAGGAGAAAAGGTTACCAGCTACTATATTTTAGCTCTGTAATGTGGGTTGTTACTGTATGTATCATTTATGGTACAGTCCTACAAATACATTTAACCCACAACATACAGTAAGAAAGAGGTACAAACGAGCCATCTATAAAAGAAATTGGGAATTTAAAGCAAGGTACTAGCTGTTCAAGGTGTTTAGGGGTAAGAAGTGTCACGGAGATACAATGTAGGTTGAATGGGGACATGTGGAAGTTGGTAATGGTAGCTTAGCACATGGACAGACCAGGTTTGGAATAAGAACAACACGTGTAAGAGTGGATTATTCTAAAATTCTCTTCAGTAAAGTAAGACCAGGAGCTGTGCAGGTGGTGGAAGGGGAGAAGTTGTGATCACACTAACTGTAATGATGAAGTTATGTGTTGAATGTTTGTTGGAAGCACCTTGGATCATGAGAGAAAGCAGTTATGGAATTAGAGAGGCTGTGTCACCCACACAAAAACCATTCTGAGCATAATCTTTATGAAATGCTGGAAAAAAAACTGACATTCCACCGCAGCCAAGATATAAGACAAAGTAGGAAATATTTTGTCTTATTATAAATGCCTAACCTGACAAAAGGCAGAGCTACCGCCGTCAAGTTTTGTCAATTTTGTACAACACTGATGTCTGTGGAGGATCATGTGAGACGGTGGGAGCCTCCATAATTATGGTCACGCTTAGTGGAGGCTGTGGGAATAAGGCATTGTCTCGCTCGTTACATGGCAATATCAGGAGATCTTCAGGAGTTGAAGATTAAGGATGGCAGCGCCCAATGTGGACGGCATCAGGGAAGGATATCAAACCTCTGCTCCACCCCTCCGGGCCACGGTAGTAATGTGCAAAATATGCAAAGACCACAGAAGATAAAATTTTTTTTTAAAAATAAGCCACAATTATGAACAATGAATATTGTAATTCGCAGGCTCAATATTCCATCTGTAGTAAAACTGTGAAAAATGCCATGGGGGAATTTATACAATGTCTACACATCACATTTTATCATCTCATGGATTCACAGACACTTGCATAACCTGTGTTACATGCTCTGGGTTTTTCTAAGAAAATCCAATACAAGAAGCAAAAATGCAGTGTCAAAATCCATGCAGAGAACCCTGATGTGTATTGCGTTTTAACAAAATGCATTTACTTACAGAACGAATCTACCGGTCAGCCTATAGAACGGTAGGACTGGCTTGGGGGGTCATTTTTTGTACTCTTTTAGGGACGAGTGACTAATCATTAAAATGCCTGTTATTATATTTCAAATTTGCAGCATGGAAACATCTGGTAATCTTTAAAGTTTAAGAAACGTATTAACATCTCCCGCAGAGATTAATAGGGGTTGCTAAACTAACACCTGGCTTCCATTCTACAAGCTAAGCCCAAACACCTGTTGCCATCTGACTATAAATTATATCTGCCTCGTCTAGGAGTGGAAAAGACAACAAGATAATTGAATTAATGCAAACACTATACTATATTATATTCATGCACATTTAAGCACTGAAGACTATTTGGGCATGGGGTATGTAGTTTGCAATAAATTCCCATGAAACTTGGCAAGCTGTGTAAATGGAAACACTAAGGGCAAATTGCTCAGACAATCACAGATTGTGCATGCACAGAGTGAACCTTTTTAAATTTATGGTGGAATTGCTATAGCAACAAACTGGGATATTTGTACAATTGGACAACTTCCAAAACGGTAAATGCCAAGTGGTGGTCGGTATCAGTGTGGGGGACCCGAGTAGATGTTTAACAATACTTGGCTAAAAAAAATAATAACTGTCAGTATCCTATGGTAGCCATCTCTGCAGCTCATTGCTGTTCGCCTGCTCCACTAGCAGAGATGGCAACCCCCGCCCCACTGGTTCAGAAGTTTGGTTTCCATTTTAGCTATGTCAATTTATTGATTCCTTGTTCATTGCAGCAGTATAATACATAGACACCATCTGGTCACTACACAGGTTTAATTCATGATCTGCCATCAGCAACACCCCCCCCCTCCTCCCTCCCATACTAAAAACAGAAACACTGAAATGTCATATACAAAACAGAAATATCCACTCCCGTACACCTTCATGCTCACATACCATTAACCACAAATAAATAAATATATACACACACACATATACACAGTTTAGTTATTCACAATAAATTACTAGAAGACTAAATGTGTTGTCCAGTATAGTATATTCTACTTTGATTCTAGCCATTACAAATCTGCAAAGTTATTTCTAAGCTGCCCACCAAACTGCCATATGGCATGCCAGCACTACAAAAACAGTCTAAAAACAGAAACAATTCGAGCTGGTTAAATTGGACATAAAATGTAAAAAAACATCGGAGTTAAATTGAAGAACACTTGGTGGATCATAAATTATGCACAATCTGCTTTTACTCAATACAAGAGGAATAAATTAATGCACGGAACTAGAACCAATGATCGATCACACTTAAGCGAAGAAATGTAGCTCTAAACTAGTATTGTGGTTTCTATAGTGAATCCTGAATTGGTCTTCGCCGGTTTAAAAAAAAAAAAACCCTATCTATATAAAGTGAAATATTTCATGAAGAATTAAGGAACACTATAGTCACCAAAACTATTTTAGAAGCACTGTTTGTGTTTAGATCATGCCTCTGAAGTTTCACTGCTCAATTCACTGTCATTTAGGAGTTAAATCACTTTGTTTCTGTTTATGCAGCCTTAGCCACACCTTCTCTGGCTGTGTCGGACAGCATGCAGTGAAAAAAAAATAAAAAATAAAAAAAATTTCATTTTGAATCAGATGTAACTTACATTAAAAGATTTTATCTCCTGCTCTGTAAATTGAACTTTAATCACATAGAGGTGGTTCCTGCAGGGTCTAGCAAGCTACTAGCAGAGCAGAAGATAAGAAATTCTTAATGAAACAGAACTTGTAATAAAGGAAGGATAAATATTAGCTGCCTCTTTACAGGAAGGCTGTGTAAGTCACATGTAGGGAGGTGTGACTAGGGCTGTATAAATAAGTGATTTAACTCCTAAATAGCAGAGAATTGAGCAGTGAGACCGCAAGGCCATGATCTATACACCAAAACTGCTTCATTAAGCTAAAGTTGTTTTGGTGACTATAGTGTCCCTTTAAAACAAACAACAGACAATTTGGCAGATGAAACTTGGTGCATGTGATATACCCTACTTAATTGCTCTGTGGGGCATATTTTAGAAAGACAACACACTAGTCCTGTTCTGACCACCAGACATCACTTCTACCCGCAGTGAGCGCTGAATCAACAGACATAGTACTTACTATGCAATGTATTCATAGACAATGAAACACTCACTGCAGTCCATTCATTAAACTTAAATATCCGCTACTTTGAGGAACACTGATGCGGATTCCTTAGGCAGTCTGGGGAGTTTAAAATAGAGGAGTACCTGCTAATAAGCCATTCACTTTACACCCAGCATTAACATTTACTGTGCAAGTCGTTTATCGACTGATTTATTAAACATGGTAAAGGTATCATTTGACTGACAGCTTACCAATGAGGACTAAATAAGAAGTGACTAGCAGTTTACACAATGGATTTCCCATATAACCATTATTTCTTTATAAAGTCCATCCCTGACAAATTGTAACTTTCCCATTTTTTACTGCTGCACGTGGCCTTTCTATTCCATTAAACATAAAGTACATATTTTGAAAGAAAGTAATTAAAATCACAGCATTATAACTCGCTTCCTATATCCTTAAATTCTTCCTTGTTCCTGTCCGTGTACTTGTCCAATAACACAGCGGGACGGGTCATTGGGAAGTGCAGCATTAGTTTATGGGGTTAGAAGAACCACCATGTATTGTGAGTGGGTCCTCTCTTGTATTATCAGTTGTACAGTCTTTGCTGGGATTAGATATGGGACAGTCACCAATAATCTGAAGTGTCAGCTTTTTAACCGAGAGCTGGATGTGCTGATATACAATCTCCACATACCACAAAGAGGCTCCTGACTGGCCAAGCCATTTCCTAGTTAGATCAAAGCTCAAGTCTGATACAAAGTTATTTCATTATAGGTTCTACATGTATTTCTTTTATGCTAAATTCCACATCATTACACACAGCCTCCAGCTTGCTTGCTTTCATAAGCATATCCAATTACTTTCCTAATACATAAAATGAACAGGCCAAGCAATGACTACTGCAGTAATACACCCCGAGTTAGTCCAGGTGAAGCAGAATAGTTCAAAGTTACTGAAAGATACCTTACACAGTAAAGTTGCATAATCTGCTTTATTCATAACACCGATACAAAAAGAAACCTTTCAGAAGGCATTATAGGAACGCTGGAAAGCCTTTAACATCTTGTGTTCTAAGAAAGGCTAAGAACAGGGTGTGTACTTTCTTGGGAAACTTTAAAACTGTGGAAATCATACAGACAGCTGTGTAAATTCCCACTCGTTCTTTGCTTTGGCTAAGAACAGACAATATACAATTGTTGGAGAGAATCGAGCACAGAACATTAACACACCCTAAACAATGCAGTGTACACTGCTTGGCTAGAAACGTCAAAATCCTTGTGTCCCATAAACTATGAACACTCCAAATTAAAACCAGTACCCTGCCTCCCACTACACTCGGCTGCCCAGGTCTAGTTGGCACAAGGGTAAATACTTTACTGAAGTCACCAATAACCACATGCAAAGCGACAAGAACTAGAAAATCCCAACGTTCATACGGACCTTCAGCCATTCCAAGAGAAACAAATCAGACCTTACGTAAGGCACTCAAAGAAAATCAGATCTATAAATATTTGATGAGGAATATATAGATTATTTCCTTCCTGGCAAGCAAACACGTGGCTTTCTTACAAATCAAATTAAGAGCACGTTATAGTGACCTTTTAAAGTCAGTTTTTTATTTTTGTTTTTGTTTTTTTTACGGTCTACAAAACATCTTCAACAATGCGCATGGCCCTTGACCTACCAGTTGCTCAGACAGGAAAGAGTTAATAACTAATCATGGTATGTGGCCATGCTGATCCAAGCAGGGTACTGGGTTATGTAAGCTGACAGCACTATGCCTGCTCTGCGTGACACACAGGCAGCTCAATCACGAAATTTAAGGTCTGCGCAGGGTTTGCTTGAAATACAGATTCCCCCCTCTGGCCTGGTATTGGCAGCTTATACACTAAACATTGAATTATCAATTACGGGGCTAACTATCTCAAAATAAAAAACAGAATCTTACCGACCCCTCTTCCTGTGAGCGGCTGACGTGGAAGTTGCACGTCTCAGAATTAAATAGCTGAAATAAGCCAGAATACATTTTAATGAAAGTATGTAGTTTAGTCAATAGTTATTATGTACAGCACATGCAGGCAGACAAGTTAGATAGAAGCCATCTACATGTTGGACTACAAAAGTGCCCTTACTCATACACATATGACTGTGCTGTGGACCACTACAGATGGGGTTTCTTTAAAGGGATGTTATAGTCAGCCAGACCACTTCCTCTCAATTATGTGTTCTTGGTACAGCGATCATGTAAACATTACACAGAGGTTACGTTGCAGGGTTAAGTCCACCTCTAGAGGCTGTCAGTATGCTTCTGCGGTATTGACAGAGTAAAACTCAAAGTACTGAATACAATGCTTACGAATGGAAATATACCAATGGAAAAGCATGCATGTACAGCGCTTGTTGGACCAACCTGGAGAAGGCCCATCTCCTCTGTTGTGTCACAGGAGATGGAGAGGTGAGTAGCACCAAGGAAGCCTTGGCACTGGAAAAAGGCAAGTAAAACTTGTAATGCAAACATTGGGGTAGGAGGCTTAATACAAATGGGGACGTGGACCTTATAGCATTAGCAATACAGATTTCTATTAACACCTTTAAAGGAACACTGTAGACAGAAGCGGTCTGAGTGCAATGTCCCATGTCCTTTAACCCTACAGTGGTAATTATCACAGTTTCTGAGAAACTGCAATATTTACCCCTGAAGGTTAATTCCTCCTCTAGCGGCAGTCTACCAGACAGCCACTAGAGGAACGTTTAGAATCCAAATGGACCTTTGGTCCATTATCCGACGCTGGACGTCCTCACGCTATGCATGAGGACCTCCAGCATCAGTTTTTCCCTATATGAAAGCATTGAATAATACAATGATACTAATACAAGCGCAGCCATGTGCAATAGGTCTCCCTCGCCAGCTGACGTCTGTGGTGTAGGAGCGTGGGCGGAGCCTGACCCAGCACAGAGGGACATCGGCACTGGCTTCAGGTAAGTGACTAAAGGGGATTTAACCCCTTCAGCTGCACGGGAGAGGTGGCACTGTAAGAAAACTGCTTTGTTTTCCTGGCACTATAGAATCCATTTAAGCACTGCTATTTCTGCTCTATCGAATTATTACTCAAAGTAGTTCAGCCCCTTAAAGGTCATACTTTGCAAAGGCCTCTTAAAGGTGACATTGCCTGCTTGGTGTGTGGCTGCCCAGGGGAGAAACTTACCTTAAGCCATTATCTGCGGTTATTAGTGCTGTATCACCAGAAGCCAGTGCACAGAGATCCTAAGAAACGTCAAGATCCTCTATAAAACTGCACTCGCAAAGCGAGACAAGATGCCTTTTGCCACAGCCATTATCAGCTGTGGGAATTGACATAAGATGACAGCAGATGTCCCTACTTTGTCTTCTATTATTGTCTGTTGTAATTTTAATAAAATTCCAGCACAGTCAATATGAATATTTCATAACAATTATCTTTACGAAATGCTCCAAAGTGACATAGCCTCTTTAACATCGGTCTTGACACTTGTGGATTCACAGTTTACCCGACCATAAAATTGGCTTACCATGTTACCAAACTTAACAGTTTAGTTGCAGGACAAGAGTATATTATGTATATAGGGCTATTAAAAGTCTTGGTGGTTGCCGGACGTGAGTCATCACCAGGGATGGTGTTTGTAATATTTGAGCATTAAATTTGGAGTGACCTAGAAATGTAAATACAGGGGGCTAGTAATTTATTCCAATCACTACTCTCAAAGCCTGATAAGCAGCCCTTTCTGAGACATACCTGTTTAGGGATTTATTAGCTATGTTTTAAGAATTAAGCCCAAAATAGGATAGCTGGAGAATACTCCAAACCTGCACAATAATACTACCATTATTATGTTGCCATTATCTGGAAGATCACTACAATTAAAAGGGACACTACACTACCCAAATAAAAAAAAAACAAAAAAAAAAACGTTTAGTATCTGTACTCCCAACGTGAACATACATGCATTTATTTATGCATTGTTTTTTACTGGGGTTATATCTAAAAACAGCTAACAGAAGCTGCAGAGCTCTTGTCTGCAGCATGTGCAAGCCCCCTCCTTCTAACTACGCCCAGACTTTCTGTTGCTCTCCAATCACAGACTTTCTAACACAGCTAAACTGAAATAAACCAGCAATAAGTAGCAGGACAGGCTGGCTGATTGACAACTGCTGGGTGCAACAGAAATAATTTTTATTCAAATCTGAATAGATTTTTTTTTCCTGCACATTGCATTGTATTACTGTATGGAAATAGATGTGATTTGTGGATGAGTAAACACACATACATTTAGTTAAACCGATAATTCATAATAAGGATAAGAAGGAAACAAAACATTAAAAATAAATACAACAATTTTTTTGTTTTGTTTAGGGCTGTTTAGGGTTTGTACACTAACTCGTTCATTCTCCTCGGCTGGGAGGAAGGGTTAAAAATACCACACACAAGGTAATTATAGGGTTATGGTAACGTAAAGCTATTCAGCTCCAAACATTTTCAGATTCCTTTTATAGCCACAAAAATTACAGGAACAAGACGTTCACACAAGCCCTGGTATAAATAAAACTGTATTTGTTTACATTTCTGTAATTCCGCTGTACAGCTGTACTTTATAGGTTTCATTTGTAGCAGGTAAAAGGTTTGCGGACTAACGGGTATCCAAGACGTGTTTGTAAATAATCTTATTACAGTGCAACGTGTTCTACAGTAAACATTTATAAAAACGGATTTCAACAATTACAACTGACTGCATTAGTTTGTTCGTGTGCCTGCAGTGGTAGAATTTAAATGGATCATCATACATAAAGCTGTACATATATTGAGAAAGGAAATGTTTAAAGAAAATACCCGGCACTGGCAGAGGTTCACAGACATTTTATAAAAAAAATTAGTTAAAAAGCAAATGTTAGTGAGCGTTTATTTATGAGCCCCGGTAATAGTAAATCCAAAAAGAGGGAGGTAAGAAATCTGTATCGAAGAGGGCTGGAACTGACCAAAAAGAAGGTGAATATCTTCCCGATGTTAGACACCTTAGAAAGAAAATAAAATCCCAAACAATGGGACATACGCCCATGATAAGGACTGCTGGGACACAGTTACTCATTTCTCCTACTGAAGCCCTGCACATACATGTACTTAGCATCATGCCAGTGTATAACAATAGGAATGGCTGGTATGCCCTGAACACTGCACATGTCACATGTAGATTACAGGAGGGATGGACAAATTAAATAAAAGTCATTGTTAAATAGCTCCAGAGCAGCTGGAATGGAACATGTACACACACTTCGTTCATACATGAACCCGAACATAAAAGGTTCCCTGAGAAGAGGAGGACAGGTATGTATGAAAAGTGCAGATTAGAATAGAAGGGTCCGGAGAGTCCACATAACACTAAAACACTCTGTTGTTCCTTTAAAGCAGTTTATAACCAAGTGCCAGACGAGATCCACGTGGGCAAGTTATTAATTTGTCATCAATAACACAATGACCGTTTAAACCAGCACCTACCTTGGAGGCCTGAGGGGTTGAAATCACGTGCACCGAGCTGGCTCTGACGCCATTAGATTTGGGACGTTTATACAGTGCGAATCTACTTTTTCTTCTTCCTCTGTCTCCGTTTGGGAGGCAGCCATTGTACCTGTTAAAAATAAAGAAAGACGTTTTCAGTAAGAGAAATATGGTGTACAAAGTGAAACATATTCAGGATTTACCGGCTTTTACAAAATGTCCTGTACATGTGATTTATTTAAATAAGCACAAAATCTGTGACAATATGCATAATGTTTTTACAGACATTTGCATTATACACATATTTATTGATAGATCGATACACAATCGACTGCCGAATAGTTTTAAATGTGACATTTATAGGTGTGTGTACAATATTTGAATTCAAACTGTTCAGCAGTCCATTTTTATTTTTATATTTTCCTCATGTTCAAACTTAATAAGTAAAGACATTCCCAAGCACAAACTTCCTCTTGGCTTTTATTTCATAACAGACAAGAAAAAAAATAAAATGAGAATGTATTTGACTGATCATACATACAAGTTTGCTTTATTTTGCATTATACCAAAGTTACTTTTATGGCACAAAAAAATAAAATAAAATGCAACCTACTACAGCCCCACTCATTTAATTCCCACTACAAAGAGTGCTAAAACTAGATTGTAAGCTCACGGGCAGGGTCGTCTGTTCCTTTTGTATATTTACATGTTAATTATTAGTCTGTATTTCCTCTATTCTACAACTCTGCAGAATAGAAATACCAACAAACAAATAAATAACACCTCAGTATAGTGAATGTTTATTATGTATTTCAGTTCATGGGCTTTGATTCCACCCCCACCATCACCACATCATGCCAACATTTAAATGCTTGATAGATTGGTGAACTGCTTAAAGGCATTCAAATGTACATGTCATATTACACAACTGAAACTGCATCCGATTTTAACTGTGCAAGAAGAACAGAATTCAATTATTTTTTATTTTTTTTTATAGTGGGATCGATATTTAAAATCCACCAGAAAACAAATTCAAGCTAGAGATCAATAAATGAAATCCACCTGACATTTAATTTATGCATAGAACAATTGTATTCAGAGAACTGAGTGACAGAAGGGATAGGCAACCTTCGGCACTCAAGATGTTGTTGACTACATCCCCCATAACGCTCTTACACTTCTAATGCTGGCAAAGCATCATGGGAGGTATAGTCCAAAACATCTGGAGTGGCGAAGGTTGCCTATGCCTGAACAGGAACTAAAGTGCATGAGTTCTAGTTTCTGTCATATTCTCACAGACGCTAGATAATAGGAGCATTGTGACGGATCACTCCATTCTGCTGTGGATGTGCTGAAGGAGGGTGGTGCTACATGGTAAAGTGTCCCCAGTCAGAGTCAAACTCATTCCAAGGGGACAGGATCAGTGGTTGGGTGTTATATTATTGTAAAACCCCTGCACGCTGGATTATGACTGTGCTTGATTTAATATTTCCTTTATCAGTGAAACAAAAACTAAACTAGAAAACGAAAACACGACACCTTTAATGCACAAGCCTGCAATGTGTTGGTGTTACAATTTGAGGTGACTTTATACACCCCATTGAAATAGAGATTCCCAAATAAGATGTTGTGGTTTAAATTAAAACTACCATGGCAGCCATGCCAGAACGTCACAGTGTTACAGGATTGCGCGTAGAGGAGCCAAAAGTGTTGAAGAATAGACTTCTAATGGGAACTCCATACTGCATGCAAAAAAATAAATAAAATGATTTAATCCCTTAACGACCAAACTTCTGGAATAAAAGGGAATCATGACATGTCACATGTCATGTGTCCTTAAAGGGTTAAACCAGTTTCAAAAACACTCATGCACCGCATGCACTTGAGAATGACAGATCCCGAGTTTTGCAATAAACAATATTTGAGCTTCTCTCAATGTTTTTCAATAAATGTAACTCAATCTGAAGCATTACTGACACTACACAGAAATGGTAACTTGAAAATAGAGGTAGGTCAATCATTCACCATTTCTACTACAAAAGTAGAAAAATGAATTATCACCTGGTCCCGCATCAGATTTGTAGATAAGAAATTACTATGATGAGGTTTCAAATTAGAGTACTTTCTTGCAGTCTTTATAAAAATAAAATGACATATTCTAAATATTTTTTTGTTTCATTAGAAGGCCCACCCAGTATGTAGAAAAATGCAAAAATAACAATAGCAACACAAACATTTGGATGGATGTCATATCTGATACAGTCTTGTGTCAGTGTCACTATTTACTGAATATTTAATGTCACAGAGACAGTCACAACACTAAAACTCCAACACACCGTAGCTCTGAGCAAAAGGGCCGCAAAAGTTAGCCCCACATTAACATCACAGATCTCTGTGCGGACGTACTCACACAATACAAACAATATATAGGTTTGACAGAGTGAGGCTGCGGCAGTCACCGGGTGTGACACACACATATACATACATACACACACACATATACATACACACATACATACATATGTATATACACACACACACACACACACCTGCATTCTCTGTCAGTATGACCTGAGCAGCACGCCGTGGCATTAACACAGTAATGTGTCATCCCAGCCCGTTGTCTCTTGCAAACAACTCCACATCAAACATACTTCTTGTAGTCTGGGGGCTCAGCTTGCCCCATACACTGTCATCTCATGGGAAATATCTCAGTGGGCCAGTACAGCTCGGGAGAGAAGCGAGATTGTGGGCCAACAGCCCACACACAAAACCACACAGTACTGGGCTGGCAAGTCCTGCCGTACTCTAGCAGGCATCGCGACCCACCTCTAATCCGCTGCTAGTCTGCAGATGAATTGAAAAGGCTGCAGCCAGTAATTCTGGCAATCGTCCCTGTTAATACCACTTACACCCAGTATGATTAAAGCATAAATGAAAATATAGCCAATCCAAATTACTGCAGCCAAATTAGAATTAAAACACCAAAACACAATTTAGCAATACTAGAGCAAGTCACTACAGTATTATCTATACCTCTTCTGTAGCATAATCCTTATTCCACACAAAGGTAGAACTTAAGACATTTTTATTAACAAATATAAATTACAAGTACTGCTACCCCTATAGGGGAAAGATTAAAATTAAAAACCAAAATGTATCTTTTAGTTGTTTGGATGGCTCTCGAGTTTGTCCCTAAAAAAGACATTCCACACACAAAGCACACAGTGTGTGTTCTATTTTTCATTATACTAGAAGTGCAGATTGTCAATAAATTTACACTTTTATAAATTAACCTTGTTACACCCGCTGGCTGTCAGATAACTGGTCCATTTACTTCCTGGTTTGGTTAGCTCAGTGGAGAAACTCAAGAAGCAGCAATTTCTCAGAGCATCTACCTTGAGAAGACTTTTCATTGAGCTGCATTGGGAAGTCTATGATTGGACAGGCACAGAAAGTCTGGGCGGGGTTAGGAGGGAAAGGCTTACAGAGGCTGCAGACAAGAGATCTGCAGCTTTTGCAAGCCGTTTTTGGATATATCCACAATGGAAAAATGTATAATTAAATGAATGTTGCCATTGTGGTTACATCTAGTAAATTGTAGAAAAACATATCTATAAATAAAAAATATATATATTACTTATTTCCATTGGATTATTCCTTTTAAAAAGGCTATTCCACACAAGGATATTAAATTAGGGAGGTATCTACTATTTTTTTTTTTTTTTTTAAAGCTATGGCGGGTGGGGAAGGGGCGGCATCCACTGACAAACCTCGCAGTCGGACATCATGTGGAAAAAAGGTTACTTACTCCCCCCACTAAACCACTGAGTTACACTCACACAGTGAAGCAGGATGTTTGATAAATATGTCCCAATGTTACTTTTCTGTCCTTGAACATAGTAAGTGGGGGAAAAGGATACATCTTCTAACAATAGGTGACAGGGAATCAAGATGGCACTTCGTTCCAGGATAGAAGTAAATACAAAGGGGTGGATTTCTTAATTTATTTTTCAGACCTCACAAACACGTTAAAATGCCGGGAAGTGACAGATCCCCCATTGTTGCTCCTCGCTTCGCTTTTATGATGCCTTCGATTTCCAAATATATTTAAAAATGTTGCTGTAGGACCCACACAGCCTGAGAAACAGACAGCTCTTGTTAGTTCTTTCAGATTAACGTCTTCTCTGGAGTGTCATATGAATGTGAGCCAAAATCTTTTGAGCATGTTTCAGTATAAGTGGCTTAAAGCACATGGTGGATATCACTGGGCTCAATGGAGATTATGAATTCTGTGTTAATTAACAATCATGCTCTCACTTACATCATTTTCCGGTATTTAATCCCTTTATCTTGTAAGGTTTTGTAATGTTAAAGAAAACTGGAATTGCAAGTTTTAGCCACATAACACAGCCAAAGGAAAAGTAGGCCCTCTCGAAAGTAGTTTTAATTTTTTTTAAATGCAATTTAAGCAAGTCAGCCAAAGGACAACTCCTAGTGATTGTGCCATGAGAGACTCACTTTAACAGTTTAAGGTCCCTTATGCATAGATAGTATGATTTACCATAAGGATTAAAACACACACACACATATATACATACATACATATATATATATTTATTTACTAAACAGTTACTTCAAGTATCAGAACTACTACAGATCGCTGTAGTACCCTGGCCCCGTTTACTGGTAATGGGGCAAACTGTTTTGCAGTGGTTTAACTTCTTACCCGGTTCTCCTGGACACAGAGGCTCCTCCTGTGACCAGTGATCACATAACCCACCTCCGATAGACTGTAAGCTCATTTGAGCGGGGTCCTTTTCAACCTATCGTTCTTGTAAGTATTCTTATAATTGTCCTATTTATAACTAAATGCCCCCTCTCATAATATTGTTAAGCGCTATGGAATCTGTTGGCGCTATATAAATGGCAATAATATTAATTATAGAAACTTTGAATCAGTCCCGCAGGCCATTTACTTGCTGAGAGCATGAGCTAATCACTCTCGATGAATGATATTCTGTGAACAAAAATCTGGAGAGAACTGACCGTTATCCCGGAGCCCCATTCCCTGCTTCTCTCTGCGAGACGAGGGCCAGCAGGCGCCTTATACATAGCGGCAGAGGTAGATTGGTATGTGGGCTGTGACGGATTCTCATTCAGTGTCAGAATCTTCTAAAAACAGTTTAACAGAGAAGGAAGGGATGGCACCTCTAACAACTTTAATGAAATGAAGTTGTTATAGTGCCTAGTGACCCTTTAACTGTACAACGTAGCTTTTTTCAATGTCACAGGGGGTTGAGGTGAAGGGGGGGGGATGGGTCATATTTCTGCAACAAAAAAGACATTCCAGTTTAAGGAGAGTCCCTGTAACATAAAATTCTGAAATAAACAGTTGCAGAACCATTTCACTGCTTACTCCTTCAGTTATAAAATCCTATACAAGTCGAATTACAAAGAGAAGCCTTGAGGGAGACTCCACAGACCAAACAAGGAATGCATCAGTCTACCATTCCAGGTTACTTAACAGAGATCAAAGGCAGCGAACGCCTATTCACAGGGTTGAAACAAAAGTGGTTCAGGAAAAGAAAATAAGAATTAGCCATATTTATGATATCATTAGATCGGCATTTCTACAGCCCTGTCTTCACATTATCTTCTGAAAGATTAGGATAACAAACAACCATATATGATAGAATTTCAATACTGACAATATAACTTAAATTTCCCATCCCCCACCATTAGTTCTGACATTCTTTGTAGTAATAAAGACAGAATGAATAGCACATGGATAGTTGTGGACTTCATGTTGTGGCAAAGCATCATGGGAGGTGTAGTCCAAAACATCTGCAGTGCCGAAGGTTGCCTATGCCTGGACTAGCACATCCATAATATAGATTACCATTTTTTTTTTTTTTTTTTAAGTAACAAAAAATAAAAATACATTAAGGGGAATATTTTCTCTATTGTTCTACATTACATATACATACATTAATGTAAGGTTTGCTAGTTTTGAATATTGGCATCTTAAGCTTCCCATTTTAGGATTTGTTAAATCTGTAGAAACTACAAGGCTATTCACAATTCAGAAAGCAAAATCCGGTTGAGTTTTCTGGATAAACTTTGGTAGTAAACGTGTTTAATAGACCGGTTAAATAAGACAAATCAGAGGGACTGCAGCCAAAGCCTCCTTCTACTGTCTATATGTTACAGTGCTTGTGGGTGCTTTTAAAAGTATTATTAGAGAATATAAGTTAAGATCTGTGGTTTCTTCTTTAATACAGTGTATTAGAGGGGCACTATGGTCACCCAGAGCACTCCATTAAAGGACCACTATAGTGCCAGGAAAACACTAGTTTTCCTGGCACTATAGTGCCCTGAGTGTGCCCCCACCCTCAGGGTCCCCCTCCCGCCGGGCTCTGGGGAGAGGAAGGGGTTAAACTTACCTCTTTCTCCAGCGCTGGGCGGGGAGCTCTCCTCCCTCTTCGGCTGAATGCGCATGCGCGGCAGGAGCCGCGCGCATTCAGCCAGTCCATAGGAAAGCATTTACCATGCTTTCCTATGGACGCTGGCGTCTTCTCACTGTAAAAGGGGTGAACCCTAGCTGGACCAGGCACCCAGACCACCTCATTAAGCTGAAGTGGTCTGGGTGCCTATAGTGGTCCTTTAAATGGTGTGGGTGCAGTGAACCTGTAGTTTTAAAGCAGCTCTGTCTTTGCATACAGTGACATGGCTGCTTGGGGTTTAGTGGCCATGGGGGGGCAAGGAAAGCTGTGATTTACTTACCTGAACAGGTCTCTCACAGGTGTCGCCATCCTTATCAGCTGCCAAGAGCCAATGTCAGTGCTGTACTTTCGCACAGGACTCTCCCACGGGATATTCCATAGAAAGAGCGTTTTTTGGTCCCGCAGCAATCGTCCCTACTTTGTCTTAGTATATATTTTGACTGGGTTATGAGTATTTCATAAAAGTGGACTCTCGCTGGAAGACGAGAAAGGAGTCTGAAGAGGCTGGAATTAATCATTTTTATGGCAAACGTGGGAGAGGGGGTATTAAAACAACCAGGGAAAGGGACTGTATAGCGTTAGGAATACAGGTTTGTATTGTGCAATGTTCACTGGAGGAACAGAAGCGGGGCAGGAAAAAAACCTTAACATAAACACTGCTTTCTAGAATGGCTATGAACTAGGGTGTCAACCAGAAGCCGATAACGGACATCTGACCACAAGTAATGCAAAACATCCCACATTTCTATCAGATTTCAACAAATCATTCATCAAACTAACAAGCAGGTGCAGAAATCTTTACTGTGCCTGGGGTAAAGAGGGTGAGCAGCATATTTTAAGCATAAGCTTACTATGGCTGTCACATTAGTGCCACAGTATCTCTGTAATAACTTTAAATACCAGCAGGGAATTCAGTAATAAATCCAACGAGAGAGAGAGAGACACACACACACACACACACCCAAAATAACCAAAAACTCTTATCCCTCGTATTACTTTACTATTTTTATACCAAGTCCAAATAGCTTAATTGTCACTTATTTTTCAATAACGTTTTGAATTAATTTAGAGGTGTATTGCATGGCATTTGTTATATATCTCTTTATAAATATTTATAGATATATATTGTTTCCACTAAAGTTATTTATAAACAAATTTTGTAGTGCTATATAATAGGTGTTTTTGTAACAAGACGAGCAGGACGCTCAGGGACAAGAGGGTATTAAGGGCCCTGCTCAAACCAGTTTACATTCTAAAAGATTTGCCACATCTCACTAATATGTATTCAGACCCGAAACGTACATGTGTGCACGTAACATTACTGGCCAAGTGTGATAACATGCATATAGAAGGGAGGCATCCTAAATACACCACTGGTTGTAAGTCTGGATACATATTACATACATGGTGTATGATTTTTTTTTGTTAACTCATTTTTCTTTAAACAAAGATTTATAGAGAATATATGACATGTACAAAATATCCATGTGAAAGGTACGGAGACATTGAAACAAGTGATATCCATAGGGTACATGGTATGAAGCGGATCATATGTGAGCCTTTCTGGAAAATACCCTGCTTTTTGGTTATACAGTACATTTGTTGTGTTTGAGGAAACTGCCACCAGCACTCATTTACCAAGATAACTTCAATATTATACCAGAAGTTATTTACTAGCACTGGTGGTGCGAGTGTATTGCGGTTTACAAATGGCCTTTGCTCTGAATTTTACAATCCTCACTTCTGCAAAAGCACTGAATCTATTGTCGGTTACACAAACAATTTAGTGGGTAACCCTATATTAAAAGATTATGCAGGTAGGAGTCTGCGTTGTCCTGATGTGACTTTCTTAAACCATTTGTTTCCATAGAAACTTAGAGTTAAACAAATGAAAGAACAAGAATGGCTTGGCCCTCTTATTCCACCAATTGTATACCCCTTTTCAACCTCAGTTTCTTTTTATTTTGTGGACTGTTTGTTTTCAAGAAAGGAAGGATTTTCATTTCCCAGCAAGTCAGATTTTAAAATACTTATAAAATATACGCAGACATTGAAACAAACTGTGCAGCATATAATATTCAATGAAGGAGTTTAAATCTTGCACAAAATGCTTATTTTAAAGACAATTTCCCTCTGGCATAAATGTGGTTGATAAGGCATTTCATGCAAAGCACCTTCACTTTCACACACTTCCTCCCTTTAGTAAGATTGTGCCATCGTTGATCATTTCAGATGAAATAACCAGGATAAATCACAGCTGTACTCGCAAGATGGGCCCCTAATAATCATAATAAAGGAGATACGATAAAATGGCAAAATTATTGAGGACACCCTCTTTAAGAAAAAGAAAATATTAACCACATGATAGATTTCAAAATGGGTCTTTCCCTGCACTGCAGAATCAAATTCTTAAGCAGAGACCTTTATGCTGAAGAACTGAGAGAGAGCAGAAGGGCCCACCTACAAGGTGTTCTCCTCCTCTCCAGGACAGGCGGCACAGCACATGCAAAGCGGTGCTATGATTATTCCCTAGCTAATGTTTCTTGGGCTGACTATAGGAGTAATGGAACAGAATTACTCACACCTCTCACAGACACCTGCAACAAAGCCAGCGTGCCTCCACAAGCAAGGCAATCAATTTGTAGTGCAGGTGGCACGATAGTTGGTTGTACAATAGTGAGACACCCATTTAGATGCAGACAAGGGGGTGCGGGACCAGAGGAGAAGCACGTTAATATCTCCACATTTTCTTTTGAATACATAATTAAGCTCTGTGATTAAGAATATATGTATAGCCTGGGGGAAGGGGTGATCTCTGCTAAGGTGAACTTGTCCTGTAAGATTACTTTAATTTCCCATCCTGAAACTTTAGTTCATGGGCATGCAGGGTCAGTATGCTGTATACTCAATTCTCCTAAATGAGAGAGCAGACCAGCAGCAGGTAATCAACTTCTGTTTTAATTTTGTGCATCTTTACAACGCTTTGTATATTAACCCACAGTTTCCCCTTAAAGGAACACTATATGCAAACACGTATTCCGAACATTATAGTGCCTGTGTGGTTGTTTAGGTCCCCTATTCCCTTTAGATTGCGCTGCAAAGGTGATTTTACTCACCTTTTCTCTAGCACTGGCCTTGCCGTGACAAGACCGCTTGGTCACGGCTCTGTGGCTGCAAACAGCAAACTTGAAAATCTCCACCAATCCAATCCTCTCTCATAGAAAAACCATTGGGATGCTATTGCGCATGCACAGCAAAACACTGAGCTGTGCCAATCAGCATCTCCTCATCTCCATGCAGAGCGTGGAGACAATGGAGGCTGTGCAGCACTGACACAGGAAACACCTATAATTGCTGTCTAAGTTATTGCCACTAGAGGTGTTATTAGGAACCAATATAAACACGGTCTTTTTTTGAAAAAGACCGTGCTTACATTAAAAAATTGCAGGGACAGGCTGCAGAAACCAGAACCACTACATTAAGCTGTATACTTTACATTAATCTATAGTTTTGATAGTGACTATAGTATCCCCCTTTAAGCTTTCTTAACCCTGTTTTCATACTCAACAGTGAGTCATTCTGAGACAGCACTAAGAAGTGTGGCAGTGCCAGCCCTATATCGCTGATGCAGTATGAAGTGTGGCAGTGCCAGCCCTATACCAGTGATACAGTATGAAGTGTGGCAGTGCCAGCCAAATACCAGTGATACAGTATGAAGTGCGGCAGTGCCAGCCCTATACCGTGGATGCATTGTGAAGTGCTGCAGTAACAGCCCTATAACTTTAATTATTTGGTATGAACAGTATCTGAGACCAAAGAAGAAAATCTGTACAGGCTGATGACTGACCCTGTTTAACTCTTTCCTGACATTGCTCTTTGGCAGACTGAGGATTATGTACCCCCAACTGCATTTAAATCAACAAAGCCAGACCCCTATCTCCCTGTAAACTAGTGGTCCGGAAATGGGAGGGGGCAGTCCCCCTGCCACTCACAATTAAAAAGGAAAAAATAACAAAAAAACACAGACATACAAATACAGGCAAAGAAGGATTAGCTTCAGTGCAAATCAGAACACAGGATCCAATTCATGAACACAACCCCTGAAAGTACAGACAAATACAACTGTGTTTGCTAAAAACACAGACTTCCTGAAGCAATAACAGAAAAATAGATGTGTAGAGAACTTCTATACAATTTTAGAAGTAAAATACGTCTAAATAGTTTTTTTGTTCTAGTGGAGCAAAATTAATGCATTGCGGTCTCTCTAAAAAGATTTTTTTTTTTTTTTTTTTAAAGATCAGAAGTTCAGTCGCAGGCGGCCATACACTAACAGTACAAGGTATATACACAGGGAGGAATAACGGCCTATTTATACTTTCCAAATAATATAACCGAATCAGCCATTCCAGTATATATTAAGCTCCATCATGCTTCCATCAGATTTGTCAATGTCTGAATTTTGCCATAGAGTCTCTAATTTAGCTGGATTTCTGAAAATCTGGGTGCATCCAAACAGCTAAAAGCCAGATCCGAATGATGGAAAAATGCTGAATCTTCAGATTCAACAAACTTGGACACTATATGCCTACAAATTCTGCTCAACTGATTTTACCAAATCCAGATGAATAAATCTGCAGGTTGACTGGCCCAAATGTAATACTCCATGAAAATCTGCCATCATCCCAGTCATAGGGAGGGGTAATATTACACCCCAATAGTTACATAAAATTAATATTCCAGGATCATAAATAGTAGTGGACAAATATTGCCTTTTTTTAGGCTTGAATTTGTTTTGCAAAATTTGTCTTCTACTGAACTTTCTAAAATGTGTTTAAAAAAAAAAAAAAAAATCCAGTATTAAAAAATAAAATAAAAATTAGCAACATATGACAAGTGAGGATTTTGAAGGTGCTGGTATTGAATGAGATTAGCCTTTTCAGTTGAAATCCGCAAATTTCAACCATATTAGAATTGCAAATTTTGTTATGTTAAGTGAATTTTGCGGATCCGGATAAAATTTGGTCCTTGGTGAGCAACTCCATAATCAAGTATTTTGTATTGTGCAGGCCCAGGTACTTTCCACATGAACGGAAGAATTAAAAGAACACTACAGCGAAATTAATGCTAACATGTATTCCTAATGCTATAATGTTCTACTACAGATTTCGATTCAGGACCCCCCCTAAATTTAAATGAAAAACTAATCTTAGTCTTCTCATCCAATCCAATGCTTCTCAGAGAAGCATCAGGGCAAAAGCAGAGCCATGTTCAAACAATCAAATGCTTCTCATAGAAAAGCATTGAATCCAGTGTTTTCCTGTTATAAGCATTAAACCATGTTCAACATCCTCATGACATACGTCACAAAACGGAGTCTAACTGTTGTAGGAGCAAAAGCACCTTCTACTCAGGATAGCAGCCAACAGAAGGGGTGTTTAACCTTGTGATGTAAACATTGCTGTATCTACAAAAACTGCAATGATTTACACCGCAGGACCAAAACGACAAGGGAACTGCTTGACTGAGAGAAGCAACATCAGGTAAGAGAACATAAGGATTATTATTTTTTTATTTAATGCCTAATTTAAAAAATTTAATAAAAAGGGGGTGACTCCATAACCTCTAAACCACAGTGTTTCTTTAAAGAGCAAAAGCATAAATTATAAAAAATAAAAATAATAAAAAAAAATTAAAACATTCAACGTTACAGTGCTGCACCTAAAGAAGAAATAGGGTGTTTTTTGGCTATGAGTTCCTCTAAATACGTTTATGAGGATATTAGTAAAGTGACCCATTATTAAACTCCAGTGTGTCAGCACAGAGCTCGCAATGCACATAATGCGTTTGTCTTTCCTTTACAAAACTAAACAAGGGAAGGGGGAGGGAGTGAATGATGCTTACTGACCTCTAGGCTGGCTGTGCAGATGTCTCTCAATCTGTGTTACTCACACTGTTCTGGAAAATTCTGGCCCCTGCAACAAATATGCAGATGGGCCCTAAAAGCAGGCGCAAAGACTAGATGGGCCATACTGGTAGATTAAACTGATCTTTTTAACACATGAATAAAAATGTCAGAAACAGCCAAGTAATTCTGAATTACATTTTAGTGTCTTAAGTGTCAGAAGTGTCTGATAACTCAAACATTAGATATACTTAAAGCAGCACTAAACACCATAAACACTACATGCCGGTATTGTGGTTGTGGGGTTATTAGGTCGTAGGCACGATTCACTGGATCTGGGTCAAACTGCTTAGCAAAATGAGTCGGCCCCAGGCAACTGCTGTAAGTGCCAACATGTAGCCAGTCATACAATCATTGGCTGAAGGTGGAGAGAGGAAAATAAAAAAAATAAAAAAAGTAAAAAAATAAATAAAATTAATTAACAAAAAGAAAAAAACACACTACAACTTGTAACTGATAAAAGGGAGTCATTTCTTTTTAAGGTTTGTTTACGAATATATGGATATGAAGGAGTCAAATATTACAGGAGGGTCGTTAAGAAACCAGTAAAATTATGCAATCAAAGCTCTGCGATGCGAGTTCCCTGATAGGCTCCTGTCCATGGCGCTGGCTGACTATAAAACCCAAATAATAGCAAATACCCAGGAAGGCATAAAGCCACTCAGTCCATCAGCCATTTTTTGGCTATATTTATTCTTTTTCTCAGAGTGAGAGTATTTATAACAACTGAACGCAATATAACAAATTAATGACCAGATTAAAAAAAAAATCTATTTTCCTTCACCTCATTTGCAATTCATTTTCTAAGGTGTCCCTTTAACCCCAGCCTGGAGTATTCCTGTAGCAAACAGATTAATTTATATTAAGAATAAATCATATACAATAATTAAAGCATGAAAAGGCATTGTTTTTTTTTACTATTGCAAAAAAAAAAAAAAAAAAGTTTGTCCTAAGTGATTGCAGCATTATATAACTGGGGGATAGAAGCATTTTGTTTATAAAAGAGTTGTCTCATGACTAACAGGAAGTGGAACAAATTTGTTACTGGCTAGTTTTACACAATAAAGTTATGCACACGATATGTATTTCAACATCACAAGACTAGACAGGAATTATCTTCACAAGTAAACAAAAAATAAAGAAAAGAAAAATATTTACAATGTTTTACTGTGTACATTTAAATGTGCGGTCACCTTGCTCATTGATATACCATTTACATAATCTTGGTTTGGTTTTTTTTCCCTTAAATTTTTACTAAAAGGACATCTGTCCAATACGACTTCAGAGCAGAAAATGTATAGATTAGGAGAAAAACCTACTTAAAAATATTTTTGTCTAACACCTGTCAATCAGTTTGTCAGCATAGGCTCTATGGCGAGGAACGAATTGATAAATGAGAGCAGGAGAGACCACCCACAGGCAGCCCTTCTGCTCTCCATGCATAGCAACCAAAGTGATTGCATTGTGGTTGCTATGGCAACTCCCTAAGCCAGCGCAGCTAGGGCTGGCTATGGAGTATAGGTTCAGGCGCCGGCATGCTGGCATTGAAGCATGCGTGTCAGCGTCAAGGAAAAGGTTTGTCCTGCTTGGCAAAAGGAACCCCAAGTATATACAGAATGTGCAGTTTGAATATAATCACTACCGCTCACAAAGTTTAAATTGCCCCAAGTGCCTGATGCCAATAAACAAACTGCAAATTTTAAGATAAAATAGCCAAACTGTAGCAGAATTGGATATTTGTTTCATATCAGATGGTTTGCCATAAATTCCATTTTTAAATTCACTACAGTTAACTGTTTAGCAGACAAGTTGATAACCATTGCCAATGTTTTCATATTCAGGGATTTTTGCTGGAATGTTGCCAACACTTTCAGAACCCAAACCAAGAACCTTTATTCTAAAAATGTTTTGGCAGAGATGATGTTTTTCAACGATTCACAAAGCAAGCAAATATTGAGAGAGCAAATACTTTATTTCTTTAACGGACACTATAGTCATCAAAATAACTTTAGCTTAAAAGAACACTATGGTGACCAGAAAACCCAGCTTAATGTAGTTGTTCTGGTGAGTATAATAGCTCCCTTCAGGCATTTTCATGCAAACACTGCCTTTTTAGAGAAAATGCAGCGTGTTTACATTGCCCCTAGGGACACCTCCAAGTGGCCACTCCTCTGATGGCCAATGGAGGTGCTTCCTGGCTCAGGGCTGCACAGTAAGCAGCCCTGCCATTCAGCGTCCCCATGCAGCTGAATTTTCCTCATAGAGATGCATTGATTCCATGCATCTCTATGAGGAGGTGCTGATTAGCCAAAACAGTGTTTGGCCCCGCCCTTACAGATTTTAGGCAATCCAATGCTTTCCCAGATTGGCTAAAAATCAGCAATTCTGATGAGGTCACCAAGGGGGCAGGGTCAGCGCCTGTGGACCTGCGCGGCGCTGGAAATAAGGTGAGTTTTATTAACTTTTAAGGGGGCTAAGAGGGGGTTTTGCACTATAGGGTCAGGAATACATGTTTGTGTTCCTGATCCTATAGTGTTCCTTTAATGAAGCAGTTTTGGTGTATAGATCATGCTCCTGTAGTATCACTGCTTAATTCACTGCCATTTAGTGGTTAATTAACTTGTTTCTGTTTATGCAGCCCCAGCCACACTTGCCCTGGCTGTGACTGAGACAGCCCTCATGGAAAGAAATGGTTTCACTTTCAATAGGATGTAACTTACTTTAAAAGTTTTTATCTCCTCCTCTGTAAATTGAACTAATAAACATTCAGGAGTCTCTTGCAAAGTCTAGAAGGCAATTAACAGAGAAGGAGATAGGAAGTTCCAAAATAAACAGTATTTTCAATACAGGAAGCGTAAACATTAGACGACTCTAAAGGCTGTGTAAGTCAGAGGCAGGGAGTGTAACTATGGCTGTATAAACAAAGTGATTTAACTCCTAAATGGCAGAGAATTGATCAGTGACATTTCAGGGGCATGCTCTATACACCAAAACTGCTTCATTAAGTTAAAGTTGTTTTGTAGACTATAGGGTCCCTTTAAGTTTGGATTCAAAGAGTTCTAGAAAGACCTAAAACAGATCTAATGACTTCCACACATATTCAGGTCTACTAACTCGGGGGCAATCTTCAGAAAGTACTAAATGTATCTTTTAATATTAATTTTAAAAGTATGCGTTTCAGTCTAAACATCACAAAATATCAGCTACATTGTGTGTAGGGACCCCAATCCAAACATGCTGTGCATATACACAAATGGAATCAATGACAAAGACCGACATAGGTATAAAAGGTTTCCAGCACTAAAATAAATAAATGTCATGATTTTATTCGTCTTTAAATTAATCGATCTGTTTGAGAAGAAACCGATTTGTCCAAAACAGAACGTTTCACTTTGTTTTTAAACTGATAAAACATTTTCGTTTGTTTTGTGTTTTGGATTTAAAACTTCCAGTAATTTGCACGAATGAATCAATTTGTTAAAAAACATACTGTACGGTATTTGTTTCGAACGGATTGATTAATTTTAAGAGCAATGCAACAAATGCACATATCTAAATATGTATCAAGGCACTCCTTTTATTACTATGTGGGAGCGGCAGGAGAATGTATTTCTCATAGTTTTCTCCCTTCAGATTACGTTGTCAGCATGTGACCATCTGCAGAAAACGTATTTTTAAAAGATATGCAGAACGCCGATGATGGTATTTTTAAACAGGGACACAAGTGCCAACCAGTTGACTCTGAGGCATAAAGAACCCAGGCAAGAAGGGCTATATTTGGTTAAATGACTAGCTGCCGCACAAACCCAGAGAACCTCCCACTTTTAGGAACCACACAACCATTTATTTTCTAAGGCAATTTCTAAACACTGGTATACTAAAGTCCACAACTTACTAACTTGCCAGTAAGTTTTTTTTTCTGATTGTTGGGGGACTTTTATTGTATCCACAGAGATCATTCCATATTCTTTTGGGGTGTTTATGTATCAGTCACAGTTACTACATGTAAGTCTATTTGTAAGGCCCTCATTAACCTCTTTTCCTGGTAAACATTACGAATTGTTTCTCCCTTTTTTTTCGGTTGTACACAGCCATGAAAGGAATGCATCTATATTTATAAATAAAGACCATAAAAACATTAGGCAGCAGAGGTTGGAAGAAAAATAAATAGTCACCGGATGTCTGGGGTTTAACAAGTTTTAGGTATAAAGCTGTAATCTTTCCTAGAATCATTCATGGATTCAGCCACGGTGAGGTGTATTAAACTGGCACTGGACCTACCACTTCAGCCAATTCTGTCTTTGCACCTTTAAAGTTTACTGGGTTCCACATCAGTAATTTGCAGATTTTATCCAGTTGGTTAATAGTTGTTGACAGTTTTAAATCCACCTGGGAATTTTATGCTGAGGAACAGAAGAAGTAAACTCAAAATACACTGTACCACTATAGTCACCTAGACCACTTCAGCTTATTAAAGTGGTCTGACCCCTGCAACCATTAACTAAGCTTCTGAGAGAAAGGGGAGTCAAGTATCACTGGGGACTAAATGTTGAGAAATATCTGCATCTCACCCACATCTCTGAAACAGACCATCTAGGTTTCCGTATGTCTCCTTAAAATCTGCACCACAAACTACACGAGCGTCCGCTCCACCCTCCTCGGATGGCGACATCCTGAATGCCATTCAGCCATTCTACCTGAAGCCAAGGAGAACTGAAACGCAACTTCCGCCGGCACAAGCCTCACCGGGACCTAGCACCTCAACTGCCCCTGCAATTAAATTATTCTGTTAATTCTACTTTTTCCATGCACATTTTACCGTTTATGTTCCATGACTGACTTTATCTATGTTGCTATGAATCAGATGTGTACCACTCATGTTTTAGCCAAGGCTGCTCCTATTTAGAAGACTTCCCCAGCTGTAGTCTCCCTGGATATTCATACCCCCTTTATGAAACAATTATAGTTAAATATGAATACCTAGCTTACATTACTACAGTGCAAGCAGCTTTAGCCAAAGTTCAGCCAGAAGACAACCTTTCAGCCTTTGTTGCCTTTTACGAACACTGTGACAATGTCTTTGATTTCCTTTCGCTTAAAATGTAGCGTACCATGCTTTTACCTGTGCGTATCACTTTTCGTATACTACAACAAAAAAATATAAATAAACAAAATAGAGTGGTCTGTGTACAGTGGTCCTGTCTGTTTTATCCAGTGATGTAGATTAGTAGATATGTCGATGTTTTCATTGCAGGGTTAACCCCCTTCTAGTGGCAGTCTTCCTGCCACCAGATATTATTGTGATTACATTCATGTCATCTCAATGCAGTGGTTTGGGTGCAGGTGTCCTGTCAATTTAACCATTCAAGACAACATGAGTGTCTTTCAGAAAGGGAAATGTTTACCTTGAATGATTAAACAAATCTTCAGTGGCTGTTACACCGATAGCCACTTGAGGCTCTTCCACTGCAACGATCACGTAAAACATGGTAATTTTTTTTTTTTTTTTTTACAGCTAACACTAATGAATTAATGCAACTACATTTTCTATCTCTGCTAAGAGAAACTAACCATCTTTTAAAAAATGGTAATTTTTTACACTTAGAAAAACATGCTTCCTCCATGTTGTTGCGGGATGCAGCGGTGATGGAACCTTGGCGTTGGCGGAAGGAAAGTCAAAAAAGTTTAATTTTTTTATTTTTATAACACGGGAGGGGAGAGGGAGAGGAGGGGAAATGGTTCTGATGAAAATGTCTGACAGAAGGAGAAAGAACTCAAAAAGAGCCTGAAGCAAAAGATAAAATTACAGGAAATATATACAGTTACCGCATTACGAAAGCATGGTCACTAAAAAAGTGACAGGTCCGATCAAGGTTTCTGCTGCAGCTTTAACCAAGGGCTGCATATTTACTGCAAACATGTGTTTTGAAAAAATACATCGCTCCAGAGGAAGATGTCCAAGAAAAATGTGGCTCGATTGAGTTTATTTTACCATGGAACAAACAGCAAGAAAGAATTCAACAAACAAAACTAGATAAAAAAAGTGTTTAACCTCATATGGACCACAGCTCTTTTAAGATGCAACGCACCTTTTTGGAGCTTTTGTCATGCATTCACTCTACCACAATTTCACCCATACTTATGATATATCATTTTTTAAAGGATAAATAAGTATTCCGTTTAATAGCCTATATGTATACATAACTTAATATTAAATAGTGTATGTATTCCTGACCCTATAGTGTTTAGAACACATTTATCTGAAAAGGCAGTGTTTACATCTAAATGTCTGCAGGGACAGGATATAGACACCAAAACAGCCACATTAAAGGAACACTAAAGAGTCAGGAACACAAACATGTATTCCTGACCCTATAGTGTTAAAACCACTATTTAAGTGGCTTGCCAACCATTAACCCCTATAAAATGTAGGAAAAGATACCTTATTTCCAGCACGAAGCAGGTCTGCCAGTGTTGGCCATGCCCCTGATCCGCCTCCTTGTTGACGTCATCACAATTAAATTATTTTGGCCAATCCAATGCTTTCCCACAGGGAAAGCACTGAATTCGCTGAAATCAGCAAAGGGGCAGGGGATGGGCCAAACACCGACTTGGCCAATCAGCACCTCCTCTAGAGATGCACTGAATCAGTGCATCTCTATAAAGAAAGTTCAGCATCTCCACGCAGAGCGTGGAGACACTGTGCAGCAATGTCACAGGAAGCACCTCTAGTTGCCATCTGAGGAGTGGCAAGTGGAGGTGTCCCTAGGTGGCAATGTAAACACTGCCTTTTCTCTATAAATACATTAAAGGACCACTATAGGCACCCAGACAACTTCAGCTTAATGAAGTGGTCTGGGTGCCAGGTCCAGCTAGGGTTAACCCTTTTTATAATAAACATAGCAGTTTCATAGAAACTGCTAGGTTTATAAATGGGTTAATCCAGCCTCTAGTGGCTGTCTCTTGACAGCCGCTAGAGGCGCTTGCGTGCTTCTCACTGTGAAAGTCATTTAACCCATTTACCCAAGTTTTAACCCATTTACATATTTTTTTTATTATATATATATATATATATATATATATATATATATATATATACACACATACATATACACATACATACATACACACATACACACACACACACACACATACATACACACACATACATACACACACACACACACACATACACACACATACATACACACACACACACACACATACACACAGTATCACTTTAAATATAAATCAAATATTTAAAAATAAAAGCTCAGTTTTACATTTAATTTCTACACAAAAAGTGCAACTAAAGAAAAACAACTCAAAAAAATAGACTTACCAATTAGTCCTGATTACTAAAATGACCAATATGTCCAGGATTTTAATTAATTTTTAAAAGCTATAAAAAACAAATACTGCAAAGCGTTTAAAGCTAAAATGAATGTTTATATAAGTCACAGAAAAGTAGATATTTGTACAAAGCACATCCCTCAGGCTATGAAACTTAGAGCATATTTAATTTAATCTTTTTTATCATGAGCCTCAGTCAAAATATTTATTTGTGGTGTTTCACACGTGTTATTTTGGGGGTCATTCACAGACTATGCATGTACCACTACATTTGTTTTTTGCTACAGTTAGAGTAAAATTATACCCCACATCAGGGGTAGGCAACCTTCGGCACCTCAGATGTTGTAAACTACATCTCCCTTGATGCTTTGCCAGAATTATGTCTATAAGAGCATTATGGGAGATGTAGTCCAAAACACCTGGAAGGTTGCCTACCCCTGCTACACATGTATACCTATTGACCTAATCATACTCCACAGGGATTCCCTCTACTGGTATTAGTACTGACATCAGCAGAGGGATTTATCAGCTAGCACTACAGAGTGCTCTGCATTGATAGGTGCTGGACAGCTGGCAATGCAGAAAAACATGCAGGTAGACCTCATGGTCATTTGTGACCATGGATGTCTGTCTCATCATGGGTACAAACTCTGAATCAACGCAGCTGTGTGCGATTTAAAGGGCCATGTGCAGCGCTCAAAACACATACCTCATCTTGCAACTGTCATTAGTCTAATACTATCCTACCTTTTGTGTCATTTTACCCCACTCCCTCTAGTATGTCTGCTCATTGAGCAAGTCCCTCAACCCCTCTGTTCCTGTGTGTTCAACTTGTCTGGTTACAATTACGTGTTTGTTCGTCCACCCACTGTAAAGCGCTGTGGGAATTTGTTGGCACTATATAAATAACATAATAATCTGTCAGTCTGGGGCCATTAATTGTGACCCCAGCTAACAGGTAGGACCCTCGGGTATCCAATGATATCTGGGATTCCTTGGTACCAGCAGAGATTAAACTCTGTTATTACTTTGAATGCATGACAGCTTATCCTGTCAACAGGCATTAAAGCCCAGCACTGACTTTTTAAATTGCCACGTGGTCATTTAGAGGTTAAAACATATGTTTAGAGAGTTACACGTTTCATTTTAACCTCTTTAAAGATATGTTCTAAGCACCAAAACAACTTTAGCTTAAATGAGCAGTTTTAGTGTACAGAGCAAGACTGATCAATTAACTGCCATTCAGAAGTTAAAATACGATTGCTTCGGTTCAGCCCAAGCCACACCTCCCCTGGCTGTAACTCTCACAGCCTGCATGAAAAAATGCTTTCATTTTCAATCAAATGTGACAGCGTAGTGTGTTTAGTTTAAAAGGTTTTAGCTCCTGCTCTGTAAATTGAACTTTATTCACACACAGGAGGCTTCTACAGGGTCTAGAAGGCTACTAACTACTAGGGATCGACCAATATTTAATTTTATTTATTTTTTTAGAGCAGATACCGCTAATCTGTGAACTTTCAGGCCAATAACTTGGTGTGTGTGTGTGTGTGTATATATATATATATATATATATATATATATATATATATATATATATATATATATATATATATATATATATATATATATAATGAATGCAGGGTGTGTGTTTGTGTAGGGAGTGTATAGTGAATGCAGAGAGTGTGTGTGTAGTGTGTGTATATAATGAAAGCAGAGTGTTTTAGTGTGAATATAATGAATGCAGAGTGTGTGTAAGGTGTATATAGTGAATGCAGCGTGTGTGTAGTGTGTCTAGTGAATGCAGCGTGTGTGTAGTGTGTCTAGTGAATGCAGCATGTGTGTAGTGTGTCTAGTGTGTCTAGTATGTATATAATAAATGCAGAGTGTTTGTGCAGTGTGTGTGTGTATAGTGAATACAGTGGGTGTGCAGTGTGTGTATATAATAAATGCAGAGTGTGTGTTTGTGTAGTGTGTGTATAGTGAATGCAGAGTGTTTGTGCAGGTATGTAATGTGTGTAAAATATATATACATATATATTTTTAAAATATTACATTTTTTTACATTTTGTTCTTACTTCTTACCTGGCCAGGGAGGGGGAAGAGGGCATTTCCTGGGGGCCGCAGCACACTCTTACTTACCCTCCCAGCAGCTCCCCTGTCTAACTCTCACGGCCTGCGGAGCATTGCCATGGTAACCAGTGGCAGCACTCTAACAGCCGCGGGACTCGCGAGAGTTAGACAGGAGAGCTAAAGGGGAGGTAAGTAAGAGTGTGCTGGGCCCCCCAGAACCCTGATGGTGGCCCTGGTCTGCCTTATCGGCAATATCGGTATCTTTATTGGCCGATACCAATATTGCTGAAAATACAGAATATCGGCCAGACCGATAATCGGTCGATCCCTACTACTAACAGAGCAGGCGATAAGGAATTCTAAATTAAACAGACTGTGCAATAAAGAAAGTTTAATCATTAGATCTCTCTTTACAATACATGTTTAGGCAGAATGTAGGTGGGAGTGACAAGGCCTGTATAAACCAAGTTATCTAACTCATAAATGGCAGAGTAATGAATCGTGAGACTGCAGGACATAATCTATACTGTTCATTAAATGAAAGTTGTCCCTTGAAATAGTATCTATATTTTAACAGAATACCAGGATGTGAAAGAAGTATTACTCTACCAAAAAACAGGGTTTTATTATTAAAGGAACACTATAGGGTCAGGAACACAAACATGTATTACTGAACCTATAGTATTAAAACCACCATCTAGCCCCCCTGACCTCCTCATGCCTCCCTAAATATAGTAAAATCTTACTTGTATTCAAGCCTGAAGTTGTAGCTCTGCATGCGGTTTGCCTCAGAACAGCAAGCTGCCTGCTGACATCAGAAATGGTAGCCTGATCCACAGGATTGGCTGAGACTGACAAGGAGGCAGAGACAGCTCAATTCAAACACAGCCCATGCCAATCAGCATCTCCTCATAGAGATGAATTGAATCAATGAATCTCTATGAGGAAAGTTCAGTGTCTGCATGCAGAGGGAGGAGATACTGAATATATTGATGCATTTTAGGCAGCCGTGATCCAGGAAGGATCTCTATCAGCTATCTAAGGAGTAGCCAGTGAAGTTATCACTAGGCTGTAATGTAAACACTGCATTTTCTCAGTTGTTCTGGTGACTATAATGTCCCTTTAAAACATTGCCTGTTGGTTGGTTGAAGTAACCTTTTAAAGGGACATTCCAAGCGTCAAAACAACTTCATTTAAATTAAGTTGTTATGGTGCCAGGAGGCCTCTGGAGGCTCTCTTACCTCAAGAGGATGAACCGTTATCAAATGTTTTAACCCTAAAGTTGCCACCAGCAGCAATGTCCACTCCTCCCCTGGCGGGATCCAGTCACCTCTGTATGGCTGAGAGTGTTCAGCTGACACTCTCAGGCAATCAGTGACTCCCCATTCACTAAACAGGGGGTGAAGTTGTTTTGGTGCCTGGCATATCCATGTATAAAAAAAGAAAACATAAAAAGGCAAACAAATATTTTTAGACACAACTTCCATATTTCTGGGGGATTGTGTAAAGTTGTTATAAAGTGTGTATGTTGCTAAGAATGCCAGGAGAGAAAAATACATTTTGTCCCCTTAACTAATAAGCGTTGGCAGGGAGAGAATAAGAAAAAACAAAAACAAAAAAAACACGCTGCCTGAAAGATTAATGTAAAAGTCAATTATCTCCCTTTCATCGTTTCCAATTCACGAAGTCTTGCTTATTTTTAGAATCTGTCAAGTTCGGCAAAAAGACTGAAACACACAGTATTCAACACAACCCAAAATGTTTTAGTCATTCATAATCTCATTGTATCACTTACACTGCTAAAGCATTAAGACAAGGGTTAAAAGGACCACTCTAGGCACCCAGACCACTTCAGCTTAATGAAGTCGTCTGGGTGCCAGGTCCAGCTAGGGTTAACCCATTTTTTTTTTTTTTTTTTATAAACATAGCAGTTTCAGATAAACTATGTTTATAAATGGGTTAATCCTTCCCCCAAAGCCTCTAGTGGCTGTCTAATTGACAGCCGCTAGAGGCGCTAAGCGTGATTCTCACTGAAAAAAAAATCACAGTGAGCACGCAAGCGTCCATAGGAAAGCATTGATAATGCTTTCCTATGCGACCAGCTGAATGCGCGCGCAGCTCTTGCCGCACGTGCGCATTCAACCAACGGGGAGGATAGCTTCCCGCCCAGCGCTGGAAAAAGGTAAGTTTTTCCGCTTTTCCCCTTTCCAGAGCCGGGCGGGAGGGGGACCCTGAGGGTGGGGGCACCTTCAGGGCACTATAGTGGTCCTTTAACAAGGGACAAAAAGTAAGAAGTCATATTCAATTTCCCAGGCTTAATTGACCCAAAAGGACAGACCAGACCCCTAAAGGACTTTAGATTGCTGAAAAGCTTTGTGTTTTAAGAATGGGTCCCCCTTTTAAGTTTACAAAATGTACAAATTTCAACTGAAATGCCACTTTTATAAATTAACCTTGTTACACCCCTCTGGCTGTCAGACAATTGGTATGGTTACATCCTGTTTTTTAGCTCAGTGAAGCTAAACTCATGAGGCAGCAGTTGCCCAGAGCATGTGCCTTGCAAAGACTTCTCATTGAGCTACAATTAGGATGTTTGTGATTGGATAGCCACAGAACGTCTGGGCCAGGTTAGAAGGAAAGGGATTGTAAAAGTTGCAGACAAAAGATCTGCAGATTTTGCAATGTTTTTATATAAAACTCCAATTTAAAAATTCATAATACACGCATGTTTTCATTTGGGGTAAATCTACTAAACACTGAATTGTATTTATTTTCTATTTGGGCAGTAAAGTGTCCCTTTAAATAGAAACCGGGTAAAATCACTCCCTATTTTTTTTTCCATTCCTTATTTTCTTGAATCTATAGGCAGTAGTACAATAGTACAAGATAGGATATTTTGTACAATTGTTGCAAAATAGTACAATTGGTGTGGGTAAAATTTTGTAGTACATTACCAATACATATAGATATATCATAAAACCACTGTAAAAACAAACACACACACACACCAAAAAAAAAAAAAAAAACTGTTCTGGAGTACAGGCACTCCTCACTTACAGACCGAGTTCTGTTCTTACGACTTGGTCGTAAAACAAATTGTTTGGTAAGTGAGAATGCGCTATGGAGCATGTGCGTCAGTGCAGGTCTATGTTCAGGGAAATTTCCCCCAACATAGATAAGCGCGGCAGAGCTGGTAATCCCTCTAATCTGTGTTCAGGGAAAATTCCCTGAACTAAACCAGCTCTCGAACGTGGGGAATCCCTTAAATCCCCACGCTAGAGAGCTGGTCATAAGTGTGAGCCATCATAAAACAATTAGGTCGTTAAGTGAGGACAGCCTGTACTAATCACAAAGTGTATATATCTAAAATAAAGAAAAATACAGTGCACAAGGTCCTCTGATACGGCATATTAAAACACGATATATAAAATATGGTACAGGCAATTACGCATATAGGAAAACACGTAACTCTACTCTGGTCCACCCACCTGCTTTAGATAAACTGTCATTAAATCATTGGTTATAGAAAAGTTAAATGTAGAAGTTTGTGTGGTAAATGTAACATGACATTTATTTTATTTATATTTTTAGCTTTTCAGATCTGTATTGTGTCCATGCTTGCCTTGTGTCATCGAACTTACGGCTTGGGCAACATCATTAAATTCCCATGCGATCACCTCCAATTTAATATCATTATGGATTTTACAAAAACTGCATTTTACCTAATGAACGTAAACAAGGTTATTTACTAAATTGAGAATTCAGAGTTAATTTCAAAGTTAAGGCCAAAGTAGCCAAACTGGAAGCATAGTTAACCAGAATAATTTTTCCAGTTCAGCTTTTTTCTTCGTCTTAAATTTGATATTTACCGGTATGTTGAATTCACATTTTAGTTCATAACTCTGTAGGAATTCTCACTTTAGTTAATAACCCTGTAATAATCAGTAGCAGGCAGATTCTCCCATGACCAGGAGTGAACTCACAAACCAGGATCCTTCATTCTGGCCAATGGTGTCTGATCTCATCCTATAAATATATATCTGGCTGGGGTTTACTTCCTACCAAATGAACAAACACACATGCCAGGACTACATTGCAACATAAGATGGAGTCAAGCAACCAACAGAAATGACTGACTTACTTTTATTTGGTACTTATACATGTGACAGATCATGATGAATGACATTATAAAACCCTTGTGGCATTGGACATTCGTTTGCTCTACAGTGTTTTGTATATTTTTAGGAACGAAATGATTGATAAGGAATCCTAAAACCTGGAAGCAGTGAGCGTCACTGCCCTGTGACCGGATCAGGGAGTGCAGAGAGACAAAGTAATAATAGTCTATATTAAACTGGAAAGAAATCAGAGCTTAATTTCAGAGGATTAACAATACCCTAACTGGAAATGTATACCCAGTATTGTTTTACTTTGAATATTTCTTTTATGTTTGTTTTTATATTAAGCATTGTTATGTATGTTATTAAAATAGTAATCAAGTCCCGTCTCAGCTCTAATGGATTCATTAAGATGAAGTTGGTTCATCAAGTTACCAAACAAACAGATAACGGTTTAATTTCAGTGTGAGAAATCTCTAGTTGATCCAGGCAGGTAATTTGTAATGACAGGCTTATTTGTTTCGACCCCCCATTAGATAATTTATAGAGATCAATGATACATTCACTGTAGGCTTTGTAGATATATTACTTTTGTTCCAGTGCCAGCCGGCTCTAAAATTTATTTGTCCTGCTTGTGGACACTTTCCCAAACAGAGCAATCGTCCTCTGTGACACCGACACAGTGGCTTCATTGCCAAAGAATTTGTTGACAAACCGGTGGGATGGATTTTAAATAGGTTTTTCCCACACCAGTGGGATGGATTTTAAATCGTTTTTTCAGCCAGTTTATACATTCACTAAGGATTCTGCTAGGACAACATATAGGTGAAATGTAATATCTTTGTGGGTACTTTAAAAATCACAGAGTAACGAACGAGAACCATATAAAGTCTATTAAAGTTAAGGAATACACAGGAAAAAAAAAAAAACCAAAAAAAATAAAAATAAAATCACAATGAAGGCTACATGAGGACTACAGGTCTGGTGAGGGAGTGAGGGTGCAAGGAAACATAAAAAAAAGCAAAAATCAGTCATATATGCCAGAGGCAGCAAGAGGATATCCTTCTGCAGGCTTCACAACAAAATGTAAACAACTAAAAATCTGCTAATGTGTGGAAGCAGCTTCTTGCCTGGACAGAAAGACATAGCATCAGGCTTATCTGGTTCTTAAATGCAGGTTATCCTTTACAGTGTCAACAAGAGATTAGTGTTAAATTCCCACCCCCTGCGTCCAGACACTGAAACAACTTTATTTGAAATGTATCCTCTTCAGCTGGGAATTCTGGGACTGGGCTCAAGCACAGACCGTTAACAGAAATCATATGCATAGAACACTATGGAACTTCTTCAATAATCACTAAAGTGGGAATTCTCAGATTTTAAATGTGAAATCTTCCAGCTATTTTGATTATAAATTGAAATTCACTCTGAATTCTGAACTCTTGACAATTCTCCTCTTAGTGAATAAACCCTGTACAGCTAGTTTGTCTTAACGTTTGCAATCCTGTATTCAATGTTAAGTAAATAAGCCTCTATATACCAGAAGTGTCAAACTGTATCACCTCTGTGCCAAATTTTGTTACAAAAATATTTTAGGGATGATAACTTACATTAGGACATGAAAGCTTTACTGCCTGTTGTGCACTGACGTCTACTTGGCAGCCAAGGGGTAACAATTCACAGCATGCTGTAACAAGCATTGCAAACCAAATGCATAGATGCAACCAAAGCAGAAATAAATACAATTGTGTACAGAAGCCTAACATGTGATTTAAAAACTTAATGATAAAGTACAGGACAGCAATACAGAAAAAACATTTTCCACAGCGGGAAAAGCCTTTATTTGTTCTGGTTCTGCACCAATAACATGTACAAAGCAGTCTTGTGATCTACTGATAGAACACATGAACAAAAGATTAATATTTTCTAAAGTTGACACAATGCCTGTGGGAGCATTTTGTATTTACAAATAAACAATCATAAAAAGAGCATAACTTTCTAATACACCAACATAAATGCAGTATTTACAAATAAACAATAAAACAAACATACATTTAGCATTCCAACATACATCACTGTAAAGTTTGTCAAATCAACTCTTCTAAAGTCAGTACTGTTTTACAAAACTTCAGTTAAAGCTGTTCCATTGACAGAATTTACATATTGTTTGCACCACATCATGCATAATTCTTTCTATGACACATGACTCTGCATTACAAAATATGCCCAACTTCTAAAATCTTCAACTGCTGAAGAATAACATTTGTGACTTACAACTGTGCATGGGGAATACATGTATCTACATCACAATTACAGTAAACTATTTAGGCAGGTGTTACTATCACCATTTAATGTAATGTACCAAAAAAAGTGCATTAAAATTCCAAATTATTAAATAACTGACCCCACCTAATATACACCAAAAATAAATTTAAAAAAAAACTATACTGAGAATACATTTTAAAAAAACATTTCAAAATAAGAATCAGGGATACCACAAAAAGGCAACTAAACTTGAGGTCCACCATCTCAAAACTAGGCTGACCAAATCCTTTAATTTTGAATAATGTGCTACATTTTGTTCTGTATCAAATCTCATATGCACATTTTCTATTGGACCAAAAAACAAGATAACTTTGAACCCAATGTTTTTGGGATTTTTTGGCAAACGCTACAAACACAGCAAAGACCTAAACAAAACCACTAATTTCCAAATATATATATTTCACTTTCTGGCCGTTCTCTCTTACTATACTATGGAAGAACTTAGTGGGGTGATGAAAACAGCCTTACCTATGCAGCTCCCATCTCCATCACTTGTTCTGGCATTTGGTTAGGAAGTGCCATACAAGCACAAGCATGCTCAGACATTCCTTCCGTAATGCCATATGTGCATTGCATCATGGGAGCAATATTTGCATCACGTGTTTAGACTGTGCCAGGTCAGGTATGAGACGAATAAATATATATACACACACACACACACAAAGACATTTATATACACATTAAACGATTGAAATACTAACATACAGAGCTTAAACTTTCCCGTCCTTTGCCACTAGCCAGTGCCAATGCAAGCCTAGAGAGTCTTCTTGCCAGTGGGAAGTGGAAATTGTGAGCCCTGAACGTATACATTTAGTATAAATAATAATATGTCCACAGAGTCTTTTCACGCTGCTGTAAGACTATCTCCATCACTTGAACTGGCATTTGAGGACAGAAAAATGAAAGTAAAATGCATCTTTATAGACCCCAATTAAGGATTCAAATGATAAAACAAAAACAACAACAAATACATAAACTAAACATCAATTACCAGTACACTCTCTTACATCCAAATGCCTTGCGGCTTCCAACGCTCAATGCATATTAAAAAATAAATAGGAGCACTCTCACGACTTTTATCCAAACAGAAATCATTCTTTTAACTAGCTATTTAACGCAATTGTTACAATGTTCAGGCCCCTCCGTGGGCATTCTCAAGATACAGAGAGCTATCCATACATATGTATATTTTCTGACTGTAGAGTGTGTGTGTGTTGCGTGTGTATACACCACACACACAATACAGTCAGAAAATATATCCAGATGTTTGTGATTTTCAGTTTGCAGACAGGAAGTGTTGACTTTCAAAATGAATTGGGATTAGACAATCCCACAATAGGAGAGCAGAGAGATCGACATAGCTCTCTTGGTTGTCAGCGACAGTAATATTGGGGCCTCTACAAGACCTACATCAACCTGAACACACTGTTCTTTATCGTCACCTTGCTGTCACGTCACGGACGCATGCTGCTGTAGTATAGCATCATTGTTGTCTTAAATAAAATCATTGATAGCCAGAAAGGATTTTAATGCCAGTCCATTGTGGTTCTCGGGGAGTTAAAATGACAGCTTAGCAAACGGCTGGTTTATCCTGTAATCAGTAGAAATGAGTGGGTCTAGGGCTAGGCCACTATGGCAAAATGGTGGCCCACCAATACGATTTGTTTGGGTTCTCCCATTGTATCTTGGTCACCATAACTTGTCATTTATTCATTGCTTTTACATCTCGATTGCACAGCTCACTATTAGTGCTATGTAAATATCATTATTAATAGTAACAATTTACCTTCGACACAGACATAAAGCCTTACAGATACCTGGATATCTGACGGAACATCACAGGAAGCATAATCCAGATAGATGAGGTGTAAAAGGTTATACATCCCTGACAAGGACCATCAACACTTTACTAGGTGGAGCTTCACAAGAGTTTCTGCAGCAGCCAAGGCCTTTCCCACCACATGCAAGTTTATTCACTCGAGTGAGAATTGTGCAGAATTCAAACTGAATCACTAATTTTAGGCCAAAAAAAGCAGAATTAAAGAAATTCTCCAAGCCAGGTGTGTATTAAGCCCCCAGCTGAATTGCTGTCAATGCCCCCCTGCAGGTTGTGTGTTGTATGTGGTTCAGTCTGTCTCAGTATATGTGTCTTAGGCCCACATTGCCCACCCTCAGTCAGTGCCCCCTGCGGTCTGTGTGTTGTATGTGGCTCAGTTCTTGCATTGCCCACCCTCAGTCAGTGCCCCCTGCAGGCTGTGTTGTCTATGTGGCTCAGTTCTGGCATTGCACCCCTCAGTGAATGCCCCCTGCAGTCTATGTGGCTCAGTCTGTATCTCATGCCCAGCACTGGCCCCTCAGGTAGTATTTAATGCCCATGGTGGTCAGTGCCCCCAGAAGGCTCAGACACCCCCCACACACACACAGTCAATTGCCCCCTGCAGGTCTGCCCCAGGCCTGGCATTGCCCCACTCAGTCAGTGCCACCTGTATGTGCAGTCTGTGTCTCAGTCCCCCAGTCAGTGCCCCCTGCAGGCTCAGTCTCCCCTCAGTCTCAGGCCCTGGCATTGCCCCCCTCAGTCAGTGTGCCCCTGTATGTGCAGTCTGTGTCTCAGTCTCCCCCAGTCAGTGCCCCCTGCAGGCTCAGTCTCCCCTCAGTCTCAGGCCTGGCATTGCCTCCTCAGTCAGTGCCCCTGTATGTGCAGTCTGTGTCCAGTCTCCCCAGTCAGGAAGTGCCCCCTGCAGGCTCAGTCTCCCCCTCGGTCTCAGGCCTGGCATTGCCCCCCTCAGTCAGTGCCCCCTGAATGGCTGTGTGCAGTATGTGTTGTGTATCTGGCTCAGTCTGTATCTCAGGGCCCCCCTCGGTCAGTCAGTCAGTCAGTCTCCGGCCCGGCAGGCCCCCGTGTCGTCAGTCAGTCTCAGTATATGTGGTTCAGGCCCAGCATTGCCCCCCATGTCAGGGCCCCCCTCGGTCAGTCAGTCAGTCTCCGGCCCGGCAGGGCCCCCCTCGGTCAGTCAGTCAGTCTCAGTATATGTGGTTCAGGCCCAGCATTGCCCCCCATGTCAGGGCCCCCCTGTGTCGGTCTGTCAGTCAGTCTCAGTATATGTGGTTCAGGCCCGGCAGGGCCCCCCCTGTGTCGGTCTCCCTCCCTGCGGCCCCGCTGCCCGGACTCACCCCATGACCACCAGCTCTCCGTATTTGACGGGCTCCTTGTTGGGGGCGCAGTGCTCCTCCTGGCTGGGAGAAAACATGGAGAAGGCCGGTGACTATCCGCGCTCTCCGCCCGGGAGCCGAACACCTCCAGCGGGGCCCGGGCCGCCCCTCCCCGGCCTCCAGCACGTCCTGCTCGGCCTCGCACTCAGGACAAGCCGGGGCCTCGCTCCCCCTGCTCCGTCCGCCACCGCCGCCAATGACTCGCCAGCCCCGCGCTCCCTCCGCCCTCACAGCAACTGGAGCCCCGCCGCTCGGCAACTGCCGTGGCAACAGACCGTACCACTCCATCCGGGGGGGGAGCCGGGGGCGGAGCTACACTGAGCGATAACTTATCGCCAGCCCAGCGAGCCCACATCGCAGCGGGACCGCAGGCACACGGCGAGACTTCTCTCCTCACAGAATCTCTGTAAATAACCGACCCGCGGCCCTGCGAGCTCTGTCAGGGAATCCGGCGCCCCCCCGCGGCCCGCAGAATGGAACAGTCCGTACTGTTATGTAAACATAGAGTAAAATGGGCTGAGAGCTGCTTAAAGGGGCCGCTCTGTTATTATCTGATCTGACCCCCCCCCCAATTATCATCATCATCATTATTAATTATTATTATTAATATCATCATTATCATTAGCATTATTATTAATTATTAATATCATTATCATCATCAGCATTATTATTATTAATTATTATTATATTATTATCCTTATTATATTATTATTATTATCATTATATTATTAATTATTATCATTATTATTTAATTATCAATTATTAATTATTATTATTATTATTTTATTATTTATATAGCGCCAACAAATTCCGTAGCGCTGTTCAATGGGTGGACTAACAGACACATAATTGAGATCAGACCACTGACGTACAGGAACAGAGGGGGTTGAGGGCCCTGCTCGATGAGCTTACATCCTTTACCGATACACTGGGATATACATAATGCTACATTAGATGTATGAGACATACTATGGTACAAATCAAAAAATAATAAAACACAGAATGGAATACACAATTCCTGGCCATTACCAGAATTAACTGGGGAATATATATCATCTGTTTGAGGGCGCATGAAATAGCAGCGCACTCTCGCATTCCGCCATTGTTTTAGATCAACCCATTGTACAGCGCTGCGGAATTTGTTGGTGCTATATAAATAATAATTCTAATAATAATAACTGAACATGAATGGTCATGGAATGGAGAGAGGTGATTGGGAACACAGACGTAGGGTAACACACAGAATACCCAGGCAACGAGGCTCTGACAGTGTGCGTTTCAATTCCTCTGCAGCCGTCAGTTCCTCGTGTAAAGTGATAGGAGTCCAAACATTTAAAGGAACATAACACACAATATATTTAAAGGCAAAGAACAATTTATAATCGATGTTGCTATCACATGTATAAGTCCTGATGCTGCCTTTAACCCCTTAAGGACCAAACTTCTGGAATAAAAGGGAATCATGACATGTCACACATGTCATGTGTCCTTAAGGGGTTAAATGTAGATATCCTTAATAGTCCTGTGTATATAAAAAATGAATAAAAAGTAAAAGAAAGCGCAAAAGGCTATAGATTATGTGCATATATAATGAATTTTATTGATAAATGTAATTGTAAAATATAATCAATATGTACTGTAAATAAGGACTAAACCTCAAAAAATAAAAATTAAAGTGGCAAATAAAGTAAAATAACATAAAAAAAATATATATGCATAAAATACAAAATGTAAAATGCCAGTGGTTATCAGAAGGATCAGAGGGAACATCCACCTTATAAAATCTAATGGGAATTTATAAAAAGTGAAATGTGCATTGCAGGAAAGATGGTGAAATATTACCTGAATCCGATAGCTGGAGTGCACTCCTGAATTACATCGTAATTCATCCCTGAGGAAGTGAGCGCAAAACTCACGAAACGCATAGGATTCGCATACCGAGATAATCGAACGGGTCCTGTGTACCCTGGGAACCCCCATACCTTCATATTCCGGTTTTCGAGACATGTTAAGCTTTTTGGCCAAAGAGGATCTTAATATTAATTTTAGCTTTTCGTGAGGAATACCGGCGGATCACTTATAGGATCTACATAGATGAGAGGACTGGACACACCATAACCCATTTCTACACTACAAGGATAGACCGGACCGAGCAGGAGTGCACTCCTGCTATCGGATTCAGGTTAGATATCACCATCTTTCCTGCAATGGACATTTCGCTTTTTATCAATTCCCATTAGATTTTATTAGGTGGACGTTTCCACCGATCCTTCCGATAACCACTGGTATTTTATATTTTGTATTTTATACATATACATTTTTATGTTATTTTACTTTATTTGCCACTTAAATTTTTATTTTGGGGGGTTTAGTCCCTATTTACAGTACATATTGATTATATTTTACAATTACATTTATCAATAAAATTCATTATACATGCACATGGTCTATAGCCTTTTGCGCTTTTTTTGGGCTTTCTATTCATTTTTTACAAAATAGACCACAACAGTTTGAAATGCCTGGAGTCCCTTGCCACTGTTCGTCCTCTCTGTGTCAATCCAGACACAGCCCGGCCTGGAGATATGGCTAAGGCAGAGATTACATGCTTCCTTCTATCCATACCAATTCATACCAGCAACGGACGCTGTGATGGGTTGAAATCGGTCAGCTGACATCCTCAGCTTCCTCTTTATCCCAAGCAGCGCAGAGGGGATGGGCTGATGTGGACTCTCATTTAGCATTAAAATATTAAAAACAGTTAAATGCTGAATGGAAGCAAAGTGCCAGGGGATTCAAATCACCATAATCACTTCAATAAGATAAAGCAGTTATGGTGTCTAAAGTGTCCCTTTAACCTCCTAGGCTGGCACCACGAGGGCTGGTAATGGGATTGCTTGTGGAATTTTATATTGATACTTCTAGACTGTGGTTTTCCCTACTTTTGGCACTTGGGTAGTTCTGTAACCTACACACAGCTGAGAGCTGCATTCTAATTGGCCCGACCTTGACCTCCATCCCTTGGGCAATGGGAACTGAGGGTTATACAATGATGTAATAAGCTAATGTGTATAATTGCATTACCATTCAAGGCTTATGCGAGTGCGTCTTGCCTGGAAACACACACAGTTGAATTTGTCAGCAGCGAGGGCATGCGGAAACATTGAAAAGATCTTTATTGATGAACCTAGATATGTTTTTTATTTTGTTGACTGTTTTAACTTTTTTCCAGCAGATTTTTACTTTTTTTTTTTTACTTTCTAGCCCACACATTGTGTTAACTCCTATCCACGCCCAGGTGCTCGATACAGGGGTAGATGTCTTTTCTGTGGCCCCAGTAACTGGTTAATTCTCCACTACCCCAACACATGGATTGGTGGAAGGATAAAGGCTATTGACTGTCTCCCAGGGTAATAGCAGGGTCTTCTAAAGGTAAATAGATCTGATGATCTAAAGTGAGAGAGTAAAGTCATCTTTCTCCTGGTAGATGCTGAGGTTTGACAAATATTACCCCAGTGTATTGCTCTGCACTTAGATGGTTTAATAATGGGGCATATTATCTAGTCGAGTCCCTATGCTTGGTTCCACCTTTTTTTTTTTTTATTCTTTATTTTTCACAAAAAGAAGTGCATATTAGTAGCAATATATAGGCTTACGCAGAAGCCACATTACTTTTGTTTTCAGTCAAGTTAGTCATACTGAAAGGAAGAATACTACGTTAGTGTGTGCCTTATGTAAACTGACACCTCTAATCTTTTCAGTGGACTGTCTATCGTCTTGAGGATCGCTGTGAATGCATATCCTAGGTTGCCTCTTAGCACTTGCTGTAGAGTTATATGTCACTTCGATTAGTGTGTTTATATATAATTGTTAAAGTACCATAACAGAAAACATTCGGAAAATTAAACAAACAAAACCAATAATACAGTAAATTGGTGTATCTGTTTCCGCGACCCGGACAAGGTCTGTCGTGTGCCCTTTTATCATGAGCCGTGAGTGTGCGTTCAGTTCCCTTGTCCACCCTCTGTATTCTCATGGTACTGTTCCCACAACTCCCACACTCTGCCAAATTTTTTGTGGTGTGTCTGACCAGGGAGGTAAACCTGTTCATAAGGTAATTGTCTTTATGTTTAGTAGTTGTTGCTCTGGGCGTGTAAGGCCTTCTGTCGGCCTGGAGAGGAGGCAGGCCCATGGGTCTAACTGTAATGGTCTCTGCACTATGTTTGAGCTTAGATTGGTGATTTGGGACCGTACTGAAGGGCATGCCCACCACATGTGTATATAGGTGCCTTGTTCCCCGCAACCGTGCCAGCATAGATCTGTGGAAGTGATCTGCATACGGAATTGTTTTACCGGGGTGGTATACCACCTTTTAAATGACTGCTCCTGGAGGGTAACGCAAATGGGCGATCTGGCTGTGGCCTCCCAAATGTCCTGCTAGTCTGAGCCCTCTAGTGTCTCCCCCAGATATGCCTCCCACTGGTCCGTGTATTGGAGCTTCCCCCACTCTTTGGCCTCCCCGCTAAGGTGAGAATATAATAGTGAGATAAGACCCTTGGGGTGTTTTTCCTAGTAACAAATATTCTCGAACCAGGTGAGAGGAAGGCTGGCTATCTCCTTGCCTTCTTTGGAGCCAGCAAAGTCGCGTATCTGGAGGTAGCGAAAAAAGTCCCTGGTAGTCAGGGGGGGATTGTTCCCTGAGGTAATCGTATGTGACTACTTGATTATTTTTGTATAGGTGGCAATAGCTCTGGAGACCTGCTCTCTCCAAGCCGCCAAAGTTGCCTGCCTGCATTCCTGGTGGGAAGGATCGGTTCCTGAGTACGGGGGACATTGGGGAGGGGAACCTGCTTAGAGAGTATTTAGTTGCTATTTGATCCCATATTCGTAAGGAGTTCGTTATTGCAGGGCATGCTATCCTGGGGAGTGCTCTATGTGTCCTATGTAACCAGGGATAAAACTGCGGTAGGTCTTGCCCCATAAGGGAGGATTCGAGTTCCACCCATTGTCGGGTGTCTGGTGCGGAATGCCAGTATGCTATTTGCGCCGTTTGCGCTGCCAGGTAGTATAGGTACATGTTTGGCAGCCCTAGACCCCCTCTGTCCTTGGGCCGATACAATAGTTTCCTGGCTATTCTGGGTCGTTTCTTTTGCCAAATGAACAGGTCTATAGCTTTTTGTAGCATGGACAGGTCACCCCTCTTAACCGGTGTGGGCAGGGCCTGGAAAATGAACAGCCATCTGGGG